GTTTGGTTCCTAAGTTTGACCAAGTCGGTCAATGTGGAACAACCAACAGGGCCGAAGCTAATGCTGTTTGCCGTGTTTGAATCTCGGATAAAACGCAGGAGTGCGTCATCCGTGGTGTGCGACAACATGGTTGGTGGGTTGAAAGACGGTGTTTGTATGTTCCTTATCGTTTTCCATACCATTTTTCAGCTGCTGTTGTTGGATGTTTTGCTGAGAGATACTATGTTATTTGAGCATCAGAATCTGCACAGCAGCTGCGCATCAGAGATCAGACCAATCCTGCAGGTCAAAGCCGTGGATTTGAGGCCAGCGTTTCGGTGATGCTGGCGACCATCAGTTTGGTGTTCGGGACGGTGAAATGGTCTTGTGAAAGTGGATCCTTTGTGTCCAGCACACGACTCCTACAATTCCAGTTTTACCTTCACATGGTAAAAGGTATGCCAGGTGTGCCAAACCCATGAATGATGATGTTGCAGAAGGTGTTTGGTGCTCCTCCCATTCGCCGGAGCCTCCCATTCACTGAGGCATGGTGATCTGCGGGACCCATCCACACTGCAGGCGGTGGGTTCCCAGGTTTATCCTCAGAGACATCCTGACATGTTCTCATGACATCCTACGGTTCCCGACTGGGTAGACCTCGGTCTACAAGAATGGGGATTACCAGTTTGTGCTTCCCCCACAATTGAAGGAAAACGCGAATGATGCGGGGAACCAGTGTAGGAGGGTTAACTAGGTGCTGCTTGGGTTGGGTCTGGAGTGAAGGGCGTAGATGAAGTGGTTTGTTGTTTGTAGATCAGAGGCTACACAGCAAAGCCTGGTTCGAGGAAATACCAAAACAGCGCAATGCCCAAGATCAGTGATTAAAATGCCATAGACTTGAAGCCGGGAGCCGCGCAGCTCAGTGTGATAGAGGTGTTCTCAAGATTTCTCAAGTTTGTTTTACAATGCCAAGTATTTGGGCTTCAAACTTGACCACACCTTGTACTATCAGCCTGCGCTACACAGAATGTTGGTGGCTAGCGGGGCACGCAGGTTCCCAACCTGCCAAGGGTCCCACTGTGCACAGCGAGTGCAGCAAGCCAACAGTGAAGACTCTGAGGTCCAAACACAAAACATTGAGGTAGTCAACTTGCAAGAACTGAATATAACTGAACATTGCTCAAATAGATGATTCTGCTTGGCTTAGATGATGGGGCCTATATCTGCCGATGCTTTTTTCCGGGGAAGAAGTGGAGATAGCCAGCTCGCGCGGTCGGTTTCGTGAGACCTTGGGCACCAACTTCGACCTGGTCACGGCGAATCCTCCGTGGCTTGGCAGCCGGGGAGTGGGGAGCAGTCGATTGATCTGCATCACATGCCATTCAGTTTGGTGGACCTGGAGTGTGTGTGTGTGTGTGTTTGTGTGTTGGGCCAACCTTTGTTGAATGCTCAATGCAGTTGGGCAATCTATGGTTGGACCAATATGTTGTATACTTCAATGATATATAGCATCGATGATCAATGATGATGATCAATGTATAATTGTGTGGTGAATGGCACTGAACCAACACATGAAAGTTCAACCAGCGGTCCGCTGCCTGCTCCCCTGTTTGTTGGTGGCGAGAGGGTCCCGAAATTTGCTCGTGTGATGTTACCCTAAAATCATTGTGATCCGTGAGTTGAGTTTGCAATTCGATTCCACCCCAACGCCTTTGTCGATGTGAGTTTCTTAACCAGCTGCCAATGGATTGGGGTTTGTTGTGTTTCAACTGAGAGGCAACCATGATGGGTTCTTCGAGTATATGATGTCAACTTCTCAGGAATCACACTTTGCCAATGGACCAGTTCAGGTGTAGGGACGGTAGGATGGTGAACCAGAGAAAGGTGAACTGGTCACTACAGGTTTTAGGTTTTAGGGTGAACCAAGTAGGAACAAGAAGCTACGAAGGAGGCTCCTGGCATTACACTACGAACGGGGCTTCTGGCATCGCTACGAAAGGAGCGATCGGACGCTACTAGTAGCTAGGTATTTGCTTAATTTGTTTGGGGTCTCGCGGAGCACGGTGAAACTCTTCGGACTCCCTGAGTCCAGGCGAAAAGGTGCCTGGACGGTCCGCCGGGACGTGGGACGGGACCCGTGGGACGGCCCGAGCATGGCCTCGGGAGACCCTGCCCCAAGCCTTGAGGTACTTCACAAGCACCTCCGGCAACTTGCCAAAGAATTCTCAAAAGGTGCAACCCTCAGGGACAAGCCTTTCGTGCATGCGGAATGATGCAGAGTTGTGGTTCTGGTTTTCTTGCGACTGTCAGTGTCTTGGAGGAACAAGGTTGGAAGGTTGAAAGGCTGATTCAACCTCTTGGTTCATGTTGGTCCAGTCTACCCGTCTACCTTCCTTCAGATTAAAGCAGGGGTCGCCCAAGCTTTGAAAAATACTCAGGTGTTGGAACTGGATATTATCCCATCGGCACCGTTTCATCACCGGATTTTTCACACGAGATGAGGCCTACTGCCGACACGAGCTCCGTGGTGGAGTCTCCGAGTACGCCCGTCTGCGGTATCGGGGTGGAAAAATGCAAAAGAACACACGACAAACAAATTCAATGTGCAGGCCATGCCCGATGTTCATGTTGGGCGGCCATGTAAAGCAACGTTTCAGGATGTTTCAGGTATATACAATATGACTAGCAGTTGGAGTCAGAACATGCCGAGCTGACCCTGACCACCAGGTTCTGCTCTGTCCTTGCCTGAGGCATGTTTGTGAATGTCGTTTGCTTCTTCCAAGCAGCAGAACAGCTTTATGATGTTTTATGTCTATCTACTTTCTAAACAGAGGAGGAGAGGCTTACAGAACAGACCAGACCAGAACAGTGTGAAAGTCCTTGAAAGACTCATAATTCCGAATGCTCTGAGATATGGATGGATTGCACAACGTTTGACAGCACAGAAGTAACCCCGCATATCTAAAGCTACTTGGAGATGTGCGTGACACCATGACACTAGCTTGAGGCAGCAGCCCAGTTACTTTCGCCCAACGGAAGCTTTTGTATGGTCAAGGACTCAGCTGCTACGTTTGTTTCACCACCACTCCAGATGGGTTTCTTGGGGTGGAGAGAAAGATGGCACATGATAGCAGCATAGCTAAGTCTCTCCAGCCACGGCCAGCAGATCTTCCGGGATTTGAGATACACGCCACGACTGGTAAACGTCCAGGTTCACGCCTCCCCACGACTGACCGATGTGCTGACAGCCTTGGAGAGGCCGTAGCGAAGCGTGGAAGAACTCGCTGGATTGATCCTTCGGAAGTAGTAGCTTCTTGTTCCTAGTAGTAAGGCATCCTTGCTCCTAGTAGCGATGCCAGGAGCACCGGAACTCGTAGCTTCTGTTTGATTGACAGGTGTTTTAGGCCGGTTGTAAAGCCTGTGGCTGCAACTGAGGAAAGCTCCACATGCGTGCTAGACAACTCACATCTTGACCTTGCAGGTATCACTTCACCATCCAGCGCAGGGTGGACATTTTCTTCCGGGGAAACTACAAAAGCGTCGCGGTGGTTTGCTCACCCAAAAGCGCGTCAAACGGCCAACAAGAGGCAGCCAGAGCCTCGGGTCGGGGAGGGGGTGTTGGTTAGTAGCTTCCAATCTCTATTCCCGGTTGCAAGGAAGCTTCTGTTGAATCTTTGCAAGGATGCGGACAGATGCAGAAAGTCGATGAGTCCATGTTCTTCTCGTTTGATCTCGTTTTACCAGTTGCCACTCCGGCACTCATGCCGCGCCGTTCGATACCTTGGCCTTTGTTCTGGTGAGGCTGCAGAACGGCTGCAGGTCATCGAAGAGGATGGAAGCTGGTGGCTTGCTTCAATGGATCTATTACAAGGGCATTACTACTAGTAACAAGAAGCTACGAGCAACAAGTGCATCGCTACTAGTGACAAGGGCATTACTAGTAGTAGCAAGAAGCTACTATTCAATAGATTCCACCCAAAGTGGGCACCAAGTTTACGGGTACAAGAAAATGTCTACTTGATTGCTGGAAAGATGGCCAAACCAAAGTCATTTCATGTCATGTCCATGTTCGGCATGCCTTGGTTTTCCAGAAGGAAGTCAGGGATAGCTACACAACTACCTTCCGTGTGAAATGAGCAATTCGAGGCATTCAATTGTCCCAATAAACATAATAAACCCAGTGTAAACGAGCTCCAGACCGTGATTCTGTCCTGTTCATGTTCACTTGGTCTGAGTTTTGGCCGTATTTGCAAGTAAGTCAAGTAAGTCATAGGGAGGCCGTGTATCATTCTCATTGGGAGGCACGGTTGAGCACCGGGTGGACTGATGTGTTGCACCGGGTGTGCTGCCCGATAGCTTGGGGATATACTTCCAGTATGTGAATGTGGGATGTGGAAACGCCATGAAACGCCAAGGGCCCGTGGTGTTTCAGCAACACCCATGCGGCAGTATTCCACAATCCGAGGTCTCCTGGCTATTTGGAGATTTGTGAGCTGATGGGCCTTTGACGTCATAGCACCAGATCATGCATCAGATGCAGCACCAACGGCCACGCCCACCGCACCGGAGCTCTACATCAATAGCCGAATAGCTCTTTGCCAAAGCCGCAAAGCAACCGAACGGAAAGAGCTGCGCACCACTTCGTCAGCTTGCAGACCAAAGATTCTACGTCTTGTACCGAGTCATACCAGTTGGAAGACAAGAAACTCAAGTCAAACTCGTCGCATTCTTTCGCAGCTAGATCTTGAGCCTGTGATAGAGCTATTGGAAGCGCAAGAACAGTGAGAACAGTGAACAAGGAAAATTGAGAAGTTCAGACGATATGGCCGACCTGCAAATTAGTTGACAGATGACCAATGATTCCAATGATATCCAATGATTACCAATGTTCCATGGCATACGACATGGCCTGGTTGATCTCCCAAAGGCGCGGGATCATAGTGACCACATTATGAAAAAGAAGCGTCCGGGATCCCCTCAGATTCGCAAAGAATACTGTCTCAGCTGTATTTGCACATGCCATGGCAGAGACAGCGGATGATTGGAGCGCCTCGTGCTGAAGGGTCGTTTGAAAAGCAAACTTGGAAAAGCTCCTGGTCCTAGTAATGTCCTTGCTCCTAGTAGTAAGGCCAGGAGCCCCTAGTAGCGTTCTTGTTCCTAGTAGCGATGCATCGGTGAACCACTTTCTGAACGAATGCTCATTCAGTTGAGCAGTCAATCTGAGTGTGTGTGTGTGTGTTTAAAGTAGGGTTGCACTGATGAAACGACCGCCGCCACGGGTTTGCTTGGTCGGATGTCTTGTCGCCTTTTTTTGAGTGAGACATAAATGCAGCAGTATTGGGAGAAGAACTGTACTGTACCGTGAATTGAGTAGATTGCTTTGCAAACACGCTGTTCAAGAGCACTATGTTCCCAGCAGACCACGGACAGATGACCATGTTCAAAGAGCCCACAGACCGGTAGCATGGTCCTGACAGAACGCCACTTGCGAGTTTTTCACTCACGTTTTTGCTCCCAAAGTTTCATAGCTGAATAAGGCAGGCGCCTTCTTCATCCATTCAGTCTTTGCGGTGAAACTATGCATTTGGACCTGTCAGGCTTAGCACTAGACCTGGAAGCCCCACCCATCTACTACAACAAGGCGGCGGTTGCGATGGTGTTTGAACAGCTCCTGCTACAGTATCACACATTGTGGCCCTTTGTGACTAGTTTAGGACTGGGGGCAATGTTTCGGTCTTAGTCCCTACCTTTCGTTGTCAAGGGCCAACTTGCCGGCACATGTGCTGCATCTGTTAAAGCATGAAAAGGTATTGAGCAAGACGTGTTTCCCGTGTCACGAAGTTGCTGCCATTCAGACTTCTTCTGCGAAAGTGCTCCCATGATGAAGGCAGACTATATCCAGACAGCCTCTGGAAACAAGGCCATGCTGTAAACATTTTGGGAGTTTTGTGTGTGTGTGTGTAGCTCAACTGCTTGTACCAGGAGCTCGCTCACTCAAGGAATAGGGTCTTCAAAGTGGTCTTCAAATTAGGCTTGCTTCAGCTGCTAGGTTTGCAGAAATTGCCCAGATCTACCCAACTCATCCACCAATCTGCAAAGCAGCAAGACTTGCTTTCCCCGCAATCCTTACATTGCCGACATGTAGACAAAGACAGAACCATTTGCCATGCCGAAATCACCCAAGGTGAGCAGAAATTCTGTTCTTTGCGGTTCGCAGAACATCACATTGGTTGGCAACTCTGTCATCAAGTGTGGTGCTCAGGATATTATGTAGCCCTTTCCTCTCTCATTCAAGGCTTTGCTGCGTGACCCCCATAGCTGTTAAGTCTGTTAAGCCAAAGCTGTTATTTGGTTGTTGGAAATTGTGCGGGATGTCGCATGTGAAGTCACTGCAGATGCTCAACTGACTCCAGTGTCCGTTCACGATGGTTCAATTTCATTCAGTTTCTTTGGGTGGGTTGTTCGGGCACCCAATGGGCCAAGACACTCATCGTTGGGTCCTGTAATTATTACCTACATGATCAGATGATACGAATAGTGAGGATACGACGTTGATAATGGGAACGGAACCGCTTCCCAAAGTTGTTGCATGCTTGGAAAGCCATTTCCGCTGTACGAATGGCTATCTTCTCGGCCCAGCTGGATGGCAGTGCAGAAGAAGTATTTGTTCAATCAAGCCAGATACCCCAACCAACCGGTCAGCGTTGCCCCGAGGTTGTGAACGGCATGGAAGGGAAGATAAGATACTATAAGATAATGAACTCAACAAGAAGGGAAATGTTCCTGTTTCTTGGAGTAAGCCAGTAAGCCTTTTGGGTTGGAGTACAAACAGACTCTTTGGGGTCGGGAATGCTGGTTGTTATGATAAATATACTGTATATAATGTATATATATATCATAATATGATAAACTGATTGACTCTCAAAGATCTTAAAGGTTCAAATTGCAGGTGTGGTCACTCAAATGTTTGGAATCCTCGCCTTGAATGTTGAAGGCGACTAAGAAATGTGTTCCATGGGCAACTGGCGAAGTACCCAGACCACTTCTTTGCAATGCCATGTGTGGCAGCCGTTGGGGCTACAGAAACCATCCAATGTGTGTCAGCTCCTAAAAGTTTGGTTTGCTCCTCCGACACAGGTTTGTCTCATCTTTGCTTTATGAGGCCTGGTACGGTCCTCCGTGGGGATCTCCAACTGCTGAAGATCGGCCAGCCTGGCGCCATTGAGCTGTCTTTGAGGGAGCTGTCTTTGGGTCTGCGGTGTTTCGCAGTCGGTTCATGTAGATTGTAGAGTTTCCAACAGCAACAGGCCTGGCGTGAGTGAGCCTGAGCCTTTCTGGATGTGTTTTAATTTGGTAGATTGCGGAGTGTGGCTCTCTAGTTCAAGAACTGACCTTTGCGGTTATGCCGGCGTGGCAGATGCGCAAACTGCATGTGGGTCATGCAACAGTTTTCTCGTCCAAGCTAGGCAAACATGTGATCGTCGGTGAGAACTGCGTCCTGAGACCGTCGCACAAGAAGTACAAGGCAAGGAGCCCGGACGACGATTTTCCTGGAAGCCGGAGCGTGTGTTTGTCAGCAAAGATTGCTCCTTACATCTCCTGACGTTGGGACCAATGGGACGCAACGGTTCAGGTCAGGTCTGACAGAAACGACTCTACTCGATCGGCTCCAGGGCAGCATCGCCTTCTTCCCGATGACCATCGGCGACCACGTGACGGTGGGCGCGGGCAGCGTGGTTTGCGCAGCCTCCATTGGCTGTTTGTCGGCACAGGGTGATGGCGGTGAACGCTGAAGGCATGTGACTGGTTGTGTCACCTATGTACGGGTGGAGAAAGGCAGGGTGCTGCCCAAAGTGTGTACCCAGAGATGTCCGGTCATAATATATAATATATATATATACCGCGTTTATCACTTAGGATGTCCAACCCAATGCAGGGGACCGTCGGACTGTTTCTGTTAAGGGAGATTGGGATGTCCTGGACTGGAGCGGCAAAAGAAATAAGAGACTGGAGAATCTAAGACAGGGGTGCGAGGACCGGAACATTTCAAGAACTTACTTGCTGGGTAGCAGCTTTTTTTGGATATGGTGGGTAGCTGAGAGTTGAATAAGAAGTCGCAGCCTGCCTTTGTTGCTACTGAAGTGCGTAGTCTTGCTCTGTCCTTGTACATCGCGGTAAGTTGCCATTTGCAAATCCTTGCTAGTCGCCATTGTCCAGCTCAGGCTCCTGTGTCAATATTGGCGAGAACTGCATCATTTCCAAACGCTGTATCCTCAAGGACTGCTAAGTCGTTGGACCTTCAGTGCCGTGTTGCAGCTTCAGAACGGGTTCCCTGAAAAAATGCTTGGAGGAAGGGTTGCAGATGTGATGCTGAAGATATTACGGGTTCCAAGTGACGGAGACACCTCTCTGTTCTAACCTTTGGCATCCTTGAGAGGACAACTCCTTGGTGCTTCCTGACACTGCGGGATCCCTAAAGCATCCGAACCAGCAGCCAACCTATTTAGGGCACGGGCAATATATTGTAAGACACAAATATGTTGACTGGCTTGTGAATCCTTGAAATCGTGTTTTGGGAGACGTCCTAGAAAGGGGCCAGGAGGAGTATCTTCTAGTTCACAGTCCATTTTGTCGTGTGAGAGAGAGAGAGGGTCCATTTAGTCCATTTAGTCTTCTAGTTCACAGTCTCTCCTGTGAGACAGAGAGAGAGAAAAAAGAAAAAATGGGGGATGAGGCTGTTATCGTCGCGCGGTCATCGATGCGAAGCTGAGATTCTACCTCCAGACACCATCGTGCCGCCGCTCACGGTCTTCGGCGGAAATCCTGGTGTGTGCCCGGAGCGGAGATCCTGAAACGCGCGTCCGTGGCAGGGTCCTCTGCTGTTGGTGATGGGTAAACACCAACAAACGTGGTAAACCACGTGTGGAACTTGACATCCTCCATTTGCCAGTCGGTTCTTCTCAAAACCCAACAGTAATGTAGACTCTTGATGACTAAACCCCCCATTTGAAATGGAACATCCAGGACTGTGGGGGTTGTTAATCAAGAGTCTCAATCCAATCCATGTTTTGCCAGGTACTTGGGAGATTTACCCGAGTCACAGCTCTTCGTCCAGAAGCAGCGGCTCGGATTCGTTTGGATTCGTGCGCATGAAAGCATGGCAACTGGTAACGCAAAGACAAGTTGCAGTTGGCAGTTTTCACTTACAACGAAACAGTTTCTCGTTCAAGACAGGTACTGTACAACGATGAATGCAATGAATGCAAAAGATGTAAAATACCTATATAAATACCTAGTCTGTTGATGTTTGTTGATGTTACTTGGAATGTGGAAGACGCAGGCAATGGTGATGCTTTGTGTGTCTCTCTCTCTCTCTCGCCAAGGCATGCCATCACGGAATACAAACGGTCCTTGCCTCAAGCAAGCGCGAAGATGAACCGGCAAGAAGCTGCAACCCGTTTGGTGAGGGGTGTTGAGGCGCCAATGTGCCCCCCTCATTTTCAGACATACCATGCATTGCCCTATTTGGAAAGTCAAGACAAGTTCAAAGACACAAAAGAAACCGTTCGTATGACTTTCATCTGATATTGCATGGTTCATGCCATCAGTTTTGGCCAAGCAATGCACTGGGTGTCCTCGTGTTTCCTCCAAATGCTGTCTCAGCCTCTCACCGAGGTTCTTGCCCTCTCAAAAGGGTGCAGGCGCCACCTCGCCCAAGTCGACAAAAGCCAAAGCTGCTTCACCTTGAGCGAAGAAAAGGTACCTCGACCTTGACCTGAAAAACTAAGACGCCCAAGCCCTTGCAGACAAAGATTTGTTCCAAGCTATTGTCATAGATTGATACATTAAGTACAGCAGAATCATAGATTGTCCAACAATGAGAATCGCTTGAAAGGTTCCAGGTTCCATCTATTTGACAAGTAGCGTACGATCCGGACTTGTAAACATCCATGGTCGGTAGCACACGTTGGCCTCGGAAGGAGAGCATTTTGGGGCACTCTTGCACGACACTTTTGTGGGCCAGACTCTTGTAGGATACTCTTGTGCAGCGCTTTTGTGGGGCATTACGTCTGCAAATCCGCGCTTTGAACAGAAGTGTTTTGCACGGACCTTTTTGCACCATGTTGCAACAACCAACCACAACAACTACATTGTATGAAATCAATCAATGAAAAATGCAATCTGATTTTTGACAAACACGTTTGAAACGCAAGCAATTGAGTATTTTCATGTATTTTCTATATATATAACCCTAATCGAGTAATTAAGCATCAAGCCGTCAAGCCCATTGATTAAGGTTACTGTAGACCTTGATCAAGGACTTCTCTTGATTTGGCTCTTTTGGAGTTTCAGGGCACACAGAAGTGGGTCACTGTTGTGCGACACCCTTGCAGGACACTCTCAGTCCCCAAAACGAGCGTTTCGTACGAGACTAGGTCAAAGTGAGACGATGTAGCCTACAAAACGAGCATTTCAGTGAGACCTCCCAAAGCGACACTGGAAAGTGGAAGTCTTACAAGACCACTACCAGAGTGAAGTAGGGCAGAGCGCATCAGTTGCACAATCCCAAGCACCTCCACACACCACGCAAAGCGGCAATCTGGCAATGACCACCAAACGCTGCAACGTCACAAGTCATCGCGCCTGCCACGAGAATTGATTGCCAACACCTCCAACATGCGCACAGTATCGTACAGTATTGCATCTGCCATGAAAGGATCACCGTGCCACGTCTTCATGTCTCTAGTAAGTGTTGGGCCACACCAGACACCACATCTTCGTATAATTTTTTGAGGCTTTGCAAAATCGCAAGTCTTGTAGAGTTTTGTCGCAAGAATACCGTTTGGAGGCAGCACCTTCAAGAACAAACCCCAGTGACCGGACGCAAGAGGAAAAGGAAACTGTCAAGCTTTTCCTTTGGTAATGGTTGGGGCCAATTTGAAGCAACCTGCATCCAGACACTGCGAAACAACTTAAACAAGGTCTGCAGCTAATTCTTTGTAGGACCATGGCCGTGTGAAATAGAGCAAGACCTTGAAGAGGTATATAAACGGTAAACGTCAATATTGCCAATCTTACATGTAGTAGGCATGTGCGGCATAGAGTATTTTTTTGTATAAATGTTGTCACTGCTGTCACAGCCCAACGGGTTCAATGAACGAACTCGGTTCTGGGGTGCATGGGCCGCCCACTTTGTTGCCGGGTCCTAAGGAATAGTGGCCGTGGTTTTGGTGTCGTGCTGTCATAGGACCCTTTCAATATGATGTTGAATGGATATGCGGCAGAGATGTGTCGATCTATGTTGGGGTCACTCAAGTAGTTGGTGTGATGGTGTGTTTTGTAGACTTTACATGACTTTACTCAACACTACACAGGGTGAGACAGGCGAAAACGGGACGTTGTACCATGCTTAGTGCGAGTGCCACCGCCTCACATCAAGCGATTGATTGAGGAGATGAAATGAAGGTAATGAAGCTTTTGGCCGCTGCCTCAGGTTGCAGGCTGAGTGGCAGATGATTTTGAATGGGGCACTTTGTACCAAACATCAAGTGCTTCGCTGATTCACAAGGTCCCGGTGCAATTTGTAGGAACTGGTGATTCGCTTTGCCTCAGGTTTGCTTGCTTCTTGCAGTGGTTGATGCTTTGTCAGCTACTCAGACACATGACTGTTGGCAATCTAGAAACTTTGTAAGTGAGTGCTAGACTACGAGAGTGCATAAAAAGAGTCTATGTGTTCTGAATCCTGACAGGGTACCTCGCTGTCCATGGTACCTTTCTACAAAGCGGCAGGTTTCTGCTAGCCTGTTGAATTGTTGGGTGATGTCGGGCGCAAATTGATATCCTTGAACAACACTGGTTGTACAATTTGTCGTATGTCATCATCGAGCTTTTGAGTGTACTTGAAACTGGTGGTCTGAGGCGATCCCGCAATCCAGGAGTGACGATCTCTTTGAAGAGAAGTGAGACACGGTCTCAGGGGCAAGAGGGGCAAGGGATTGGCCTCCTTAGTAGTTACAGGAAGATTCACCGGTTTACACTAGTAAGGTTTGTATACGTCTTGCAATACTTGTAGCAGCAATATCCTATTGTTTGATTTCTTGATGGTTCTATGCACTTTCTATCCATGTGGTGTTCCACGAGGTTTCGTGCTTGGAGTTTTCTTGCGCCCTTCTCGCTTTGAACGAGGCCCATGTGGGTTTGGTTCTACAGTTCTACGGTTCTACGTGCAAAACGTTTAAAACTTCCTCCCGGACATGTTGCTCACCATGCCCAGTGGAAATGTCCATTGAAAAAAGCTGTGCCAACTGCGCAAGTTTGCTGGGCTCAGGAGAGCAAAGGTCAGAAAGGACGGACTCGACCTTTTGAGTCGGGGCACTCAAGGGCTTGCAGTTGCTTTGGTCCCCGTCGGGGGGCCTCCTTCCAAAGCGGTCCTGCGCAGACTTTGTTAAGAATGAAGAGGTTGGGAGAGACCCCTCTGAGCAACTAGAAGACTTGGAGTGTATGTCATTGGTTCACAGATGATGCATTTGGATCGGTCATGAGGCAGTGAGGCGGTTATAGCCGTTATAGCCTAGTACTACCGATTAGCAGCCGCAGCCGGAGACAAAAACAGGTTTTAAAAAAAACGCTGAACAGGTCAAACATCGCCAAGTCTCAGTATGTTGTCTCTCACATTGAGCTGATGTGTCGCGACGCCGGTCCAGGCCTAAAGCATCGTGTCGAACATGACGTCGTGCTGCTGGGCGTCCCATTGAATAGTGAAGCAGATGCCAGGTGGGTGTGGATTCAAGATCCGTAGGTGCTGAATTCGCTAAATCAAAGGTCCCCTGCTTCAAGACAAAGATAAGTTGATCTTCCAAGTAGTTGGGGGATATGAACGGTCAAAAACCTGGACGATGACTGTATTGCTTCAGGGTTGGTTGCTTATTTTCGTGGCCACACGCAACTTTGGTCCGATCCAGAGCAGCGCAAGCCTCGCATCTTAAATGCGAGCCTGGGTGACTTGGGAATCCCCCGTCATGATTGTCATGATTGCTTCTTGGTGCCTTTCTATTCTAGCCCCCCAAGTCACTTGCAGTCAAACTTCAAAGTTACATGCTTTTGCCCGAAGAAATGGAATAGGTATGGTGAGGAATACAACGTCAAGTTTGGGTTCAAACATCAAATCATACACTCAACAAGTGTTGGGAAGTACAAGTGATGGCCAAGGTCACGAATGCGAGCCCAGGCAAGGCTGGACTCGGAGCAATTTGCTGAACAAAGTCGCGGGCCACATGTTAATGTTCTTCTCGGAATGAAATGTGTTAAAATCCGCTCCATGCGATGGGATGATCTTCTCCGCTCCAAATCTCCTCACAGGAAAGAGGTGAGAGGTGCGATTTGTCGAACTGACTGGCACACAGGCACAGCAGGTTCATGCCCTACAGTACTACGGAGAGCTGCAAGATGGGCGGCCCAGGGAGCCCATATCGTTCAAAAGGAAAGAAAACAATGGAGAATAGGGATCTCCATGTGGTTGAAACAAACTTCCCCCCAAAAGCAGCCTTGGAGGTTCATCCGGTCCTTTGAAAAAAACTTCCTCTTAGCTCAAATGACAGGAGTTGTTGTGGAAGCACCTGAGCTGACCGACTGAGGTGGGCACTCCTCCGCATGTTTTCTCGGTGATTTTTGACACTGGAAGTGGGCAGTCAGCATCCTCAGAACACTCCTGCAAGTGCTTCGTCTTGCTGATATTTCATTTGAAAATATCAGAAATGCTTCACAATCCGTTGGTTGGTAGATCTCCAAAGATCCATCATGCAGTAAGACCTCCAAGGCTGATGCTCCCATCTGCCCGATGTGACAGCAAGGCCAGATGAACGCAGACGTGCGCAGCTTCGGCATGTGTTGGCCATTCCATGCCATCCCGAACTAGTAGAAATGCACAGATGATGACATGGGAGAACGCTTAAATTCGCCGGTGAGGTGCTATCGTCCATGGTATTTTTCTTACAAAATGGTTGCTGTAGTGCCTCATCTCACCGAGGCGTGTAAGGCGCACCGTGCCTTTCTGCAGCAGAACAGCAGCACGGTGAAGGGCTGAAAGCAGTTCTGGTGAAGGAGATACGCAGTTGACTCAATTGATGAAGTTTGATGATGATGATGATTATTATTATTATTATTATTGCGAGAAGACGTTGACTCAAGAAGCATTTCTATACAACTGTATGTATATATATATATATGTGCCCCTAGCCCCAGCCGTTTGATTAGCACCGGGCTTTATAATACTGATGGGCCTGGGCTTCCCCCCCCTTGGATTTTGTGGTCCACAGAGTCTCCATATGTCTGAGGCTGTGCCGATTGGTGCGAAACTCAGGTTGAGACCAATTGCCATGGCTTCATGAAGCAATCCTCATCACTCTTTCACTTTGGCCAGATAAATCCAAACAGCTCATTCTGATAGTTCCATCGATTCAAAGGCGATGAAGAGTACACAGCCCCAAGCCGGCCACAAATTACAGGGACGTGAGTGATGAGGCATTGCCGGATGCCCTCAATCATTAGAAGGAGCACGTTTAGCTACAGCTTGACATCCCAGTTCCAGATTCCAGACTAAGTCAAATGCTGCCCGGCGAAGCAGGTACCCACTTAGGCGGGCCTAAAGGCTAGAATTGGAAAAGGCCGAATCCGCAAAATTAACACAAAATAGTGAATCAAGTACAGCATCCCTTCACAAACATCCACCTTTTTCCAGGCCACCGTTCCTCTTTGCCCACTTTAACCTTGATGGGTGAATAAAACCGTAACGCCGATTCTCTGCAAGCGCTGTCACTGAGGCTGGGCCGATGACCCCTTCACGAGAGCTAGGAGCGACCTGGACCGAGACACCACGGCAGCTCGACCGACACCGGCGATCCAACATGCGGCCGCCTCTCTCTCCCCCTGCGTGGGTGGAACTCCACATAAACAGACTTGAGTGGTTGTGGTATGTTGTGGGGTTGAAGGTCACAGATTTTTACAAGACCTGGAATTGCTTGGGGGCGCTACTTCTCTCGCCTCTTAAACATGTGTCATCCTGGTCTTGGAGACCGCTTGGGCGTCAATAGCTTGGAGAGACAAGCGCTGTTCCACGAACCGGAGATGTCTCAAAATCGGACCTGATGCCACCGTGTTTGATGTTTGAGGGCGTCCAGGCTTCCAGGGAAAAGCACTGGCTACACAAGTACTGCTATACCGGCCATTACTCATAGAAACACTTGCTCTGACCCATAGAAAGAAGAACGCACATGGTTGTTTTTTATTTAGCTTGAACCTGACAGGTGAATGAATCAATGTGCACATTTGTTGTTCATGTCATGGAAGTGTCAGTCTGGTGGGAGCATGGATGCGTTGAGATGTTTCAAGTTTGGCTGGCTTTGGATGGTTTTGCCTGGCTTTCTTTGGATGGTTTTGCTCAGCTCAGGTGGTGAACTTTGCCGCTGGCGAGGCAGTGGGGCAGCCACTCAGCCACTATTTGCCGCGATGCGGTGGATGGGGGTTGTGTCGGGAGTGATGGACCGCCAACATACAGTAATCACCTCCAAACAGCAGGAGAGGTGGATCTCTTGGTAAAATGTTCGTGAAAATCGTGACTCTTCGTTTGGATAAAAATCAGGACCCAGGCGCTGCAAGGTTTTGCATGTTCAATGGCCATTTCTAAGGGATTCCTTTGTACATTCAACTATACTCAACTCTACAGGTACTGGACCGCCAGTGCTGTAGCCTTGACACTGTGAGCTACATCACCTTACAGATCTTACAGTACCCTTCCTGGAGAGAGCCAAAGGAGGACTAAGAGAAATAGCCCGAGGGCAAAGGAAACACCAGATCAGCAGGAACTTGTTGGACAAGACTAGTGACTAGTGCCAATCGCCTCATTTATGCTGAGAGCCGACACCTAGACCTAGCTCTTTTCTTCCCCTGCCATTTGTATCCATTTGCTGTACTGTTTATGTATCGTTCACAGGGTGAAATGGTTCTTCGCAAGTACGTAGTGCATGTTTATACAACTAGTTGTAAGGGCAACTCCAAGCTGAATCCGCAACACGTCAGGTTTGTCCGAGACAAAGTTTGCTTGGGCTCTGCTTGTGCCGTGGCGGATTTCGTGGAGATGACTGAAGAGTTTGATCCTCAAGGACCGTTAGAGATGGCCACGGATGGTTCATGGTTTGCAAATATGTCTCTCAATACAACTTGCTTTCGTGGGAGAAATATTGACAATGATCCTAAGTGTTGGAGTTGCCCTTGCTCTTGTTTTGGACACAACGAAGAGCATAGCAAGTCAGTGGCATTGACACTTCTACATGTGCTTGGGTCACATGGAAAGTCCACTTCTACATCATATATGGCGATGATATGCGATGATGTGTTCTTCGAAGTGAGGCGAAGAAACAGCAACTCACCAAGGTCTGACGAGCCGTTTGCTGCGGTGGAGTGGGATGGTGTGCTGGGACTCGCACAGGCGTTGGCACGGGAAGAATGGGTGGTACAGACGGCCATGCGGAGCAATTGCCATTCACTTGCTCTTCGCACGATCAGTGGGATTTGGGAGGATCTTTGGGCATGTGAGAGTGTATTGATGTGTATTGTATTGCTTAAAGAAATCACTAAAAATCAGAGCATCAAGCAAAGATATTCCGGTCCCCTGGTTCCCTGGGCCTGATTCGGCAGATGTGACTTGCTTCGAACGGGGTTGAGGGTCAGAAGGCGGAATTCGCTATGTAGCCATGTGATGCCATGTGAACAGATGCATAGTTGCACTGAACTGGCAAAGAAGGTGGCTGAATGATAAGTCCTTCAGCCGTGCATAGACAGAATCAATTCCGTTATAGTTGAAGCAGCGGGGAAGCTGTTATTTGTTCATTCCTTCGTGAATGCCATCAATCGGACTGCTCCGGGCCAATGTTTGCCACTAGGTCACTAGGTCTTGGGGCAGGGGTTCCTGAAGAGGCAGCTGAGCAGAACCGCCCGTGATGTCCCCAATATATAGTGACCACTCATGACCTCCGTGTGGCCCTTCACAGACGCCGGCGGCAAAGACGTCTAGCCCTTTGCAGATAACACACAAGGTAGAAAGTAAGGACGCGGGCGGCGCATGCCTTTGCATTTTTAGTTTCCCGGGCCACGACTCTGCAGCGCTTTGCGTTGACTTGCAGATTTCGTGGCAGGCGCAGCACTGTGTGGACTGCGAAATGATGCAAAATGTATCAAAATGTAGATTTTGTGGAAGTGTATCGTGCTGTGGACTGTGTAGCTTTCACTGGTTGGCACAGGATTTAGCGGACCATGATGCGCAGACTTTTCGTGGCGCAACACTTTGTGGATTTCCGGCACAGCGCTTTGATACTGTATGTAGATGAAATGGAATTCGCGCATTGCGGGTTTCATGGTGAGCGCAGCAGTTGGCGGACCTTGACGCGCAGATCACAGTAATATTCATTTTGTACAATTTTATCTCCTCTCTGAATATAGTTCGTCTTGATGCTCTGCATGATTTCCTGTTGATCCTGAACCTGGAATTGGAGGGTCTCCCAGTTGAAGCACACCCATTCTGTTTTTTTTCCATGTTGGAGCCATTTGCTATCAAAGATGATGGGAAGGGCATGACATGTGACTCTTGAGGAGAAAGGAGATGTCACCATCACCCGCACAATCTGAGAGTGCATCTCTTCATGTTGTGGCTTATCCCACTTGTTTCTAGCAAAGAAAGCACACCAGCTGTTGTGTCATTGTGTTGCAAAAACTTCATGCAGAATGGAACAATCCAAATGAAAACAAATTTATATCCTATTGTGTTTATATGTGATCTATATGTTTCATGTTTTCTCGGACGAGTGCATTTGGACGCAAGTGCTCCACCCCCCATGAAAGAAACCCTCTCCGGTTTCCGACCACGGCAGTCTCTCAGCGACCACCCGGAGTTCAACATCCTCCACAAAATGTTCCAAGGTCGCAAGTGACATGGGCGAAAACAGGGTCACCCAAATGGATAGACGGGTCCTTTTGTTTCATGAGAATCTACACCTTGCATAGACGCGAATTCAAGGTGTTCCGATAAGATGCAGGTTGTTCAACCATGGTTAACCATTCGACTCATGGGTGTTCAGTGGAATTTGAAGTGCATTCCGGACGAAACGGGGATGGTTATAACTGTTTATATGTAGATAAATATGGGGTCAATTTAGCACGGATGTAGGGAAGTAACAAGCTTCATGCGTGTGGATGCTTGACGTGAACCCACCGGTTCCGGATAAATATACTGCATTATATGTTTTTATATTTGTTGGAGGGAGGAACTCATGAGCTGAACATAGACTGGAATCGCCACCGCTGCCCGGAGACTTGCGAGGGACAGTTCTGAAGAAACCCATCTTCGCTGTGTACCTTGGGTGTCTTGGCGATGTGTGGGTCGGGGTGGAGCGACTGGACAGGTAGTTGGAACGGAGTTGGAGAAGCTGGATGAACTGGTCTTTGAAGCCAAGGAGTTTTCTTTATGAGTATTCAATGGGTGCACGGCTACTTGCAGTAGTACTTGTGATGAGATCCCATAAACTGCACGTCCGGATTCAGTTGCGTCTTCACCTCTAGCCAGATCAGTGGTCCGTTTTAGGGATGAAGAAGCTAGAATTCCGGAATTCTCATGAATTCCCAACAAAAGACAACTTCTACCAGGTTGGAAATATGTTGGAATTTGGCTCAGTTGCTGATTCTCCATCATCCTTTCGCCTCCTTTGGTGCATTGGCAACCACTGTTCTGAGGCGCCGCTTCGAGGACGAGGCAGAGATCACCTTCGGGAGCATCCGCCCGGAGCGGATGGCGTCCGGGCACCTGAGGCCACCGGGGACGTCAGACGAGGCATCCGCAGCAGCTGATGGTTTCGGTGCCGACCGGAAAAACCATGAAAACAATTACAAGATAGGAGAGACAAAAACGGCCAAAGTGAAACCTTGCGTGATAGATGCAAAAGGGCCAAAGAGATGTATAGGGCCCCCCTTGAATCAATCTTCAGTCAAGATTGAAACTGGAAAATGGATTCAAGGTCCTGTGCACCATAGACCCCAACCAATGTTCAGGGTGCACCCAAATCTGGTACCAGCCTTACGTCCAAGGCACTAAGGCCAGGCTGAGTGTATCCAACCAGTGAAACGTCCCATTTGTCCCGAGGTTCGCCTCCAACATGCGTTTCGGAGTACGCCTCCACCGGCCATTGACTGAGGTCAAACCTTCACTGGGTAAATGTTTCGCAAGAAGGCCGCGAGAGAGAGGGAGAGAGCGAGAGAGAGCGCGAGCAGACTTGAGCCATGTGAACAGCCCTGTCTCATGGATGCATTTGAGATTTCTTATGTCTTGAGCCAGTCATTCTGAGATTCTTGTTTCAACTCAGAGGCTCGGAGGCTCAGCTTTTGTCCGCAGGCTATTGGCAAATCCAAATCGATGACGTCACCATTGACGGGAAACGCACCGGCACGTGTGTCATGGCCGCACATCGAAAGCCGCCCTCCGGCGAAAGCGCTTGGCATCCGCCCGTATTCATAGGCTTGGCCTTCGCGTTGAAAGGTTCCACCAGTGAGATCATCCCCTGGTCACCCCCATGTGCAAGCAAAGCCCTACTCCAGACAGCCAGCCTTGGGGCACTGCAAAGGCAAGAAATATGGCGCGAAGGGATGTCAAGGTGTGCTAGACACCGGGAGCTCACTCCTGTGCCTTGGACTGGGGTTGGCAGAGAATTGGGGTGAATGTGCCATACTAGTAGCGTCCTTGTTCCTAGTAGTATGGCCAGGAGCCGCTAGTAGCTTCTTGGTCCTAGGTCCTAGTAGCGATGCCCTTTGCTACTAGTAGCTTGTTCCTGGATGTCTACCCGATGTCCAACGCCAGCCGATGGATCAAGTTGGATGATCACAGAGTTCTGAAGAGTAGATGAGGGTAGTAGCAGAAATATGTGGTGGTTGAAACAGGCTCCATGGGAAGTGCATACAGTGGACAGTATACTGTATGCAAGACGGTTGCTAGACATAAACCGATCACGAGCGTCTTGAGATCCTTGCAACATTGCTCGAGCTCCGACCACCACTTCCTTCCCACCTGCAGTGGTCTCCCACCGGTGATTCAACGAGAAGGGTTGCGACTTGGCTGTCCAGGATGGGGCCCAAGCACGATGTGAACGCCTTACTCGCGGGCTTGAACTTCAAGGCGATGATTTCATGGCTTCACCTGCCAGACATGGGAAGCAAATGTATGGCAACTCATTGGTGGACTTTGTTCAGCTTGGGCATCACTGTCTTGTATTTTGGGGTCCCTTTATGTGGAGCCAAGTCCAGGAGACAAGGTTATGTAAAGTTGGCGGGTGTGCTATGATGCTTCATCGCCCAGATCCATGGTTTTCCGAATCGTTCTATAGTTTCCTCTCAATCAGCGCAGATTGTGCAGATTGATTCCAGCACTGCTGCTGATCGAAGAAATCGAGCCACACCAAGTGAATACTGGATCCCAGGTTGTGTCCCGAATATATTCCATCAAGATCCATCTAGTTTGGATCTAATGTTTTGCTTCGCAGGAAGGCACCGAGCGCGCCTGCAAGCCCGGGGTGACATTCCCAAAGCTTGGATTCTGGTCGGCGGCCCAAGATGGTGTGTGGGGATTGGCACATGTTTTTCCCCAGATGAGTTCAGCATCATCAAGTGTCACTGATCCTTTTGAAGCCAAGAAGAAGTTATGCTTGATTCTTCTTCGTGTCTCTGCCCTTGGTCGCGCCGTGCCTGTTCTTTTTGGGTCCACCTCCGCGGCGCGTTTTTTCGGCGGAAGAGTTCGGGGCAGCGAGCCACCCAGATCTGAGGATTTCTGGAAAGCTCTTCGAACTGGACGCGGATGACTGGATGGATCGCAGCCCCGAGGCTTGTTGAAGACCAGCGGCTGAAGAAAGAAATGGTGCCAACAAGCGCAACAAGAATAAGAAAAACAACAGTACAAAGATAGAGATTGGTTCCTTCTAGCACAAGAGCGCAATAACAGAGTTGATCTCCAGTCAATTTATCAGATTCGCTTTGGTTGACTGGTGCCACACCTGACCCCTCAATTCCAACTGACCCATCCTCAGGCAAATTGCTGGGCTCATTTGATGCCGGTGGGCGACACCGGCCGAGGATGGCAGATGCCGCATGTGGTGTGATGCCATGCCATGCGCACTGCACCCCAACTCTGGGAAACAACTCGACGACTGAAAGAAGGCTCACAGAGGCTGAGAAGTGTCCAAGTGTGGCTCGGAGAAGTTTCGTTTGAGCAGCCTGCATGCAGGAGCCATCTTCGTGCTTGGCATGCCTTTCTTGAGAGCCTTCTACACTGTGTATGATCTGAAGGTGTGGAGTTAATGCCTTTGCTTGACAATTAGTCATTAGATGTCATTAGTTACTGTCATGTTACAGGAGGCCACCTAGTTTCTGCCAGATTGCTCTTTCATTCGACACCCTTGATTGTCCAAGCCGCGATATCAAAGTGGACAGGCAAAGCAAGTGGGCATTGCTGCAGCCCGCCAATCAAAGAAGGCGATTCGTCCCTGTTCTGACTGCCTCTCCTGGTTTGAGTTCTTGCAACGAAGGCCCAAATGTGAGCTGTGACCAAAGTGGATGAACCAGAGCTCTACTGTGAGTCAGAAGACTGAACCGTTCTTAATGTCCTTTTCTTAGGCTGCAGATTGTATTCATGCTCGATAGGCCTAAATCCCTCAGTGGCTCCTCTCTTCCTGACCTGGCAGGAAAAAGCCTTGGCAACCGAAGTGAACTTGGTACCTCGGAAATAACCTCAAGGAACATTGAATCAGATTGAGGATTGCAGGCCACAAGGCCTTTGCAAGAAGTTTCTCAGACCATGCGTTTCACCCGTGAACAGTCATAGTTTGCGGTCCACACATACGTGTTGTGGCAAAAAAGAACGAGTTATGCGGCAGCTGCTAAACGAAGCCTTGATTCGAGGCAAGCAAAAAGTCAAGAAGAATGCAGCTCCACTTGAGTTTGACACTGCTGGAAGAAGATGTTTGAGAGGTTCCCCATGCATTCCCCATCCACATTTTCTAAATCCAAGTCTGATTGCATTCATAACTTGTATATTCTTGTATATAGATGTATATAGTATATAGTACTAGTACCCATTCGCATTCGGTGGCCGCAACCTCGCAATTTTCTCCCCGTGATGTTCTCAGCGCTTTGCACCATGGGCCGGGCCCCGCGCGGGCGCAGGGAATGCGAGGCCTGGAGCTGATGGGATGTGGATACTCATATCCCAACACACGAGCTCCACCAAGATGTTTGATGTTTGAGGTGGACGTTGATTAACTTGTATATACGTGGTATATATTATGTGTTCTACTTTTGTATACTTATTGTTTTCTTTAGAAGCTCCTGGAGTCACCCCAGCCCAAGATGCCATGCCCCGAGGAGGAGGTGAAAAAACCTTACTGAAAATCCTCAGGTGGATGCGCGAACCCTACACCTGTTTTGACCCACATTGTGAGCATCCTAAAAAGTCACAAAAAAAAAAAAAAAACTCCTCCTCCAAGCAGCCGATGCAAGCATATATATGCCAGCATTTATCAGAGACCAAGCATCTCTCCGGGACCCTCGCGTGCTGAAAAGACATGCATTTTTCGCACGCACGTCCCGCGCGACCCCCGTGCATGCGAGGATGAGCGGACTCAACCGGCGAAGCGCCCCGCGAATTGGGAGGGTGAGCTGCCAGAGGACTGACCGCCCGGGCGGTGGTGGGGGGGTGAGTGTTCCGCCCGAGCTTCAGGTGGTTTGGCACCGGGACTCAGTTATATTACTCATGATTGTTTTCATTACAGACACCACCATTTCGCTAGTCAAGAAAAATGTACTGTATCACCCAAAGTGATGAGTCAAAGGAAACATGAACAGCCAATGCAACTCCTCATGCTCCGGGAGGGTCTCTTGCTCCGGCACGTCCTCCTTGGTCGGTTGACCCCTGGAGCCCAACGGTCCGATCATAGATCCGCTTCATGTGCCGGAGCTACCACTCCCGCGGGCTCGGCCCCACAGGTCTCGAGGGGCTGGTTTTCACCGACAGGACCCCATTCTCGCCTCGCAGCTGCCGAAGGCGGACACGTGCACGGAGCATTGGACCATAGTGCTTGGACAACGGCTACAGTAGATGTCTCCAGCCTTCATGAAACCTGGGTGAATTCAGACAAATTCGTGGTTCTAGGGATCACAGAGACGAGAGTTATCATTGGATGGAGAAAAGTCCAACAAGTCTCGTGAGTTTGGGAAGATGGCGACCAGTCCAAACACCAGACAACAACGGAACCACGAAGTTGGGCAATTGCTCACCTGGTACAACAGAAGATTGAGCTATATAATGATATGATTCAATACCTAGTGACGATTTAGCTGCCACTGAAGAGGTGTTTGTCCTACAGTGATGATTTCAGTCGGGCGTCATGGCGGCAGGAAAGGTAAAGGTGAGTGGCTGGTTTCAGCTTACCAATGAGTGATTCTAGAGATAAAACACTTGATGCATCTTTATGCACTGGGTGAAAACATATGAAAAAGAAATGGTCCCGAGCCTGCCAGGTGCGTAATGCCGGTGCTATGCCTGACGTAATGCTGATGTAACAATACAATCTACTAGCTGTGTCCAGACCGATAGGTCGCGGGAGGCAGGAACCCAGAAGGCCTCCTCACAAAACTGGGAACCCGGTAAGAGCTAGCAGGGGACCAAAAGCCGCGATGTTTCGGCAAGCACGACCACAAGCTGTTTAAGACATGGCCACAGCAGTTTCGGCAAGCACGCACAGGTCTCGAAGGCATCTGGCGCTCGTGGGCTCGTCGGGGCCCCAACTCTTCGAGCTCGAACACACAGAACGTGGGGAATGAGGGAAAACATGGGAAAACCACAAATGGACGAACAAACGAAGCGACGAAATGCCGAAAGGCCCCGAAGAGTATCATGCACTTTGTTTGCTGAATCAACGGATGTTTTACGTGTAAATAAATAGATTCTGCATCAAAGGACGTGTTTCAAAAGCATGGAAAAGACCAAGATGACCAAGGGCTTCAGACGTCCGCGTCAATGAAGTTTTCTTTTTTTCCGCTGGGACACGACCGTTCCAACCGTTCTGGAGACGAGTGTGCGACCGTTTTGAAGACGCAGTTCGGTGGTCTTAGATGCAGGATGTCTTGTTAGCTATGCTCCAAGAGAATCTTGCTGCTCGTTCAGATGTGTTGTCCATTTTTATCACATCCTTGGTGGCCTTGGTGTTGTCCCTAATGAGCATGCTATTGAGATCCAGTTCTGAACAGATCCAACACCATACGCCAGAACCCCCTCGATTCACCAGGAGCACGAAAGCCCGCTTGTCAGCGGTTTCCGTTGCCACCAACGCTTGAAAAGACTGCATTTCATGGGTGTGCAGCTGGTATGGCCTTAGGATTCCATGGAGGTTGAGAGGCGAAACCTCAAGAGAGGGAAATGCACAACAAGGAATTCCAGGAGGACTGGTGACCTAAATCATCGAAACATACGTTTGAGGTTGATGTAAGCGAACTACTACTTGTAAGGAAGCTCCACAAGTTGTGGTCCAAAAGGGGATGTCCTATCTTTGAGCCATGCCTAGATCAAAGTCAGTACAGTGTCTACAAGACTTGGGCAAATAGAAGTTTCAATTCGCTTTCTTTCCAACCTCGGAGACCAATGGATGTTGAATGGACGCCTCTTCCCTCACCACAGCAGGTTTGGGCGCATTCCTGCTGCAGCCGAAGCAGCTTGAAGACAGCGCTTCAAGATCCCACGGTCACCGCCATCGAAGCTGATATTTTGATGGGACGTGTGGGCACGTCCGAGCTGATACCGATCATGGCACACCCTCCCAATCGCACTTCCGACTTGTCTTTCAATGACTTTTGGGACGCGTGCCTGTCAGAAGCTCGACACCATGTGAAGCTGGACTTTAAAGACTTGAAGTCCTTACAACTCTGTCTCCCCACCGTGACTGCCAGCCAGCGCCGCTTTTGTTCTGCGCGGTCAGGGCATGTCAGGGCACGAGCAGTTTGGATCAATGCTGACATCTTGCCAGGTCCCAACCGCCGAGGTGAGTCATGCCCCATCCCAGCGGAGGAGTTCGTGGAAGCTGTTCTGACGCATTGCCCTGGAGTGCCGTTGAGCTTGGGATGGAGGGTTTCGACAGGATTTGAGTCCTATAGTTTGGAAGATATGTCTTCTATGTTGAAGGTTTGTCAAGCTCTTCCTTTGCACGGTGTGGTTTTTGCGGCGAGCGCCCGCTTGGCACTGCGGAATCCAAGACCCCTCATCGAGTTGCTTCAGCGCAAACCGGCCAGCCAGCTGCTTCTGTGGACAGGAACAGGAGAAGCTCCGATCAGTTCGCAGGTGTTGGAGTCCCTCTCTCAAAGCTTCGCGGAAGTCCAAGGACGAGTGGGATATGACTGCAAAGTCACTGAGTCCCGCTTTGAAGGTTGGTTGGGAGAACTCACCATTTGCATCGCACAGCTTTGGCGATACCTTTGCAACTGGACCAGAAGAATCACGCGTTCCATCTGGCGGAAAAGTGGTACTTCATAGTACGTCCACTGCTTCGCAAAAAGCGTTTTTCGTGCTTGACTCGAGGGACTCACTGGGCGTTTCAAGCAGACCGTGCCCAGTACAGGACCAGGTCCTGAGTTCAGATTTCAGGGCTCCAAGTGTGCTTCAAACTGTGCTACAGCATGCTACAGCTACCATCAGATACCCCCATTGGATCGCTTTTGGGGGGGGTCCGACTGTCAGCTCGGCCGACCTGCTGTGTTTTCACGGATGGAACGCTTTGAGGTGGATCGACCTCCCACAGCTGTGAAGAAGGTCACTGGCTCAGTAAACTTCGAGGGTTGAAGTTGAACATGTCCCAAAATAGTTGGTGTGTTGTTTTGACAGAACACATGTCCCCAAATGGAGTGTGTTGTTTTGTTGTTTAACAGTGGTTTCGCAGTGTTTCTCAACACCGGCCAAGACCCCAGATGGCATGTTGAATAAAAATCCCTACCCTCACGAGGCAGCCAGCTTGAATCTAAGAAAAGAAGGGACAGCGGGCTAGAGAAGCAATGCAATGTGGTGGGATCAGTGGGATCAGCGGCAGACGTTCCCCAAGCATCGATTTTGATGCCGGTGATGCTTGAAGATACATTGAAGTCTCCATTCCCGCAGACTTCAGGTTCCAAAGATTCAGGAATCAGGTGGGAGTGTCGGTTGAATGTGTTTGTGATGGGAGACACATGGTGTTGCTGGGTGTTCAATTCCAGTAGAAGCAGCGTAATTGGAGCCTTCAAATCAGGTACGAGGTTTCAGATTGGAAGGATAGTCAACTTTGAGGGTCATTTTGACGCTTGGTTGGCTTGTTCATTAAGGTGTAGATGGGGCGTGTTTGCGAAGGAGTGGTCTTGAATCATTGGGTGCAGTTTTCAGGCTGGAGTCTTTGTCGCCCGTATCCACTCATATCCCGGCCTATCCACTCAGAAAATGTCGGGTTTGAAGTCAGAGAAGTCACCAGATCAGTACACAAAAGTGAAGCCTTTGAAAGAAGTGGGTGGATATATACCCCTATGGCCCATGCCAAGTAAGTATTATTGAGCCCGGAGCCCTTCAGATACTGTGTTCAGCCCTTTTCCAATCCAGGATGACTGGGTCTCATGTCAAGCATGAAAAGGGGACACGGGAATAGATTCAGTTTGTCGGTGGCTTGGACAGTTGTTATGCACTAGGGTATGCCCAAAGTGGAGGACTGGTCGATCCATCAGTTTTGTGTGTTGTTCTTTGTTTCTCGTATGATGAAACTTCCCGATCCATCCCTATCCGCTCAATTGCTGCTCAGGTGAACATTGTCCCCCAACTCAGAATACCATGTATATGACAGATTGTTGTGTGATGTTGTTTGTTGAAAACAATACACCAGTTCAGCCGCGTGACCAATCTAGCGACAAGAGGCTCCCCTACTTAAGGGACCACAATAAGGTCCCTTTAAATGTTCGCAGAACCAAGTTGTTCAACCTGCCAGAGCTACTCCTACCATACGGGTGCAACATGGTGCAACCATTCCAATCGCTCCTGTTACCTGGTGCAACCACTCTTTGTGAACACTCGTTTGTCATGTACGAGCTTGACCAACCGAGCTTGCATCCTTTTGCAAGGTGGGTCGAAAGCTCCTGGCCTGCAACAGTGACCCAGTCGAAGCACAATTTCGACTGTGGCAGGGATTTTCTGAGGTTACACTCCCGAAAACTAACATAGACCCTGACAATGGTCCCATGGAAGACGTTTTCCTCTACCAACCAGGGGTTTTCAGGTTCCATGTTAGTCTTCCAGGGTGTAGAAGATGATCATGGTGATGAAGATGATGATGAACATGCAAAAAAAAAAAAAACATTTGGACCCTATCTGAGAAGTGTATCATCATGCATCATCCCACAAGTCTCTTCATCTATCGCCTGGCTTGGAGGTACGATCTCCTGGCTGCTTTGGGGATCAAGCGTCGGTCAACAGGACAGACGGAGGGTGGACTCAGCCCAGGCGGAGCCCAGTCGGTGAAACCACCGCGAGGGAACTCCTGGAGAGTTTGCAGAACCAAAGCGAAGTCGTGAAGATCTCTTCAGATGACCTCAAACGATTGTAAGTCACATAAGTCAACATCTCTTGGGACTGTTCTACTCATTAAAAACCAGAGTCAAGTCTCAGTGTGTGTGTGTGTGTGTGTGGTGTGTATCTATTGTCAGAAACCCTCCCTAGAAGGCTACTTGAAACTTGAAACGGGACTTTACGTGCTCCCTACTGGTTGGACCGCATGCCTTGGTCCGGGCCCAATTTGTCCACGGAGCAGACACCACACAGGTATGGCGATTGTGTCAGTTGTTGTTTTCCTTCGTCAGGAGAGGAGACGGAAGCCAAGAGGCAGAAGAAGGAGAGACCTAGCTGAAGTTTATGTGCAATCAACTCATATTGTATTACTTAATCATAATTTGGGATTTCTTGTAAAGAGAATCATTGTTGAGGCCTCGTGGCTTTATATGTGCACAGTTCACTTCTGGGGGATGGCACATTGGTTTGGGAAGTGAAGGGGCGTTACGGTCGCTGCTTGGGTGCTGTGGTCCTGGTAGGCATTGGCTGGTTGAGTTGCACAGAGCTGCACCACCAGATGGCCCGTAGAACCTTTGTAGTGAATTCAAAGTTAGTGTCAAGGAGCTGCGACCCAGGAAAGTCAGCAAAACAGCAAGGTATATATACGGTAAGAACGAATTACTGCGACACGGAACTAAGGACTCGGACGCCCATGCAGCTGTTTCAGCAGCTGGCAACAAAGATGTGGAAGCCAAAGAAGCATCCGCCGTTGGAGGCGTGGCGCCACTGTTCCCATTTGTTCCCCCCCCCCCCCCCGCCCCAGACGTCACATTCCCAGGTCGCAGGTCGCGGCTTTTTGTGCGTCGCAACGAACTGGAAATCGTCCGGTGATTGGCCGTGTTTAGCCCGCACCCTGCAAGGGCATCATTGAGGAGCGGTCTGAAGGCAACCTGCAGGACTGCTCGGTGTTCTGTGGTTTCTTCGACCGAACTCTAAAGCCAACAAAAGAATGCCAAACTAAAGCAGGGCCTTGGAAGAAGGGACTTAACAGATGTCAAAAGAGGGGCTTCACGTCACTGGTCACTGGTCACTGGCTCGGCACCGATCAGTCCTTCACGTCGAGATGCTATCCGCTGCTGAGCATCCTGCTTTGATAAAGGGCCAGTATGTATAGTTCAATTTATTCACTGCCTAGCTTTCAATCACAGTAGAAAGTCAAGATCAGATGCTGATTGAAGCAGAAGCTGGGCACGTCATGCGTGATACAGCCGTGCGATTCTGGTGGGAGAAGCTACATGGAACTTCCAGCCACCCAGTGAACCACTGTCCACTGCCTGTCAGTTTCAGTGCCCCAAAGCCCAATAGTAGCCCACCTGCGTTTGTCATTTTTGCGAAAGGGGTGGAGATGATGCTTTAGGCTGCTTTACGCCCTCCAGGAGCTGGGATCAACATCTGAAGTACCCTCCTTTCAGGCTGGCTGAATGGATGGCAGTGGATGGCAGTGGTTTTCTGTTTGTTGAAATACATCACCTAAAGCTAAGCTTTTACGCACAATGCCAATTCTTGGCTCAAGCACGCAGCTCATCGCGACAAAAAGGAGCGCTAGCAGTTGCAGCTTAGCGGAATTTGACTGTATTTTAGTGGTTGAGCCTGAAAATACAGGTTATCAGCCGTAGCCTCTGCCATGGCTACAGACGATGGTGTGAATGCCGCGCTCGCCCTCATCCCATACGCCGGCGATCCTACACAGGCCGCCGGGGGCAACCTCGTGCCCGAAGACGTTGTCATGGGATCTGAAGGCGTCACGGCATATTTCCAGTTCATTCAGAACAATGTTCACCAGATTGCCTCAGGAAATGAGGAAGCCGTTCGCTTCGAAGCAGAGCAAAGGCATCGAGAGATCATGCAATCAACGATCCAAGCCTTAGGCTCGCAATGTAGGATTGCAATCGATCAGGCAAGGGAAGTCTGCAACAAGCAGATTCTTGCCATGCAAGGTCGAATCAACTTACTAGAAGGACAGTTGGCTGAAAGTCAGGCCAAGGTCGCTAGCGCGGACAGCCTACATCAAAAGAGAATGTCGGAGCAGAAGGCAGAAGCAGAGAAACTTCATATACAGAAGATGAACGATAAGATGAGGGAGCTGGAATCTATGTTCGAGAAAATGGTAGAGGATGCATCTAACAAAGCTAGAGCACTCCTTGAAGAAGAACGTAGGCAACACCAAAGCATGGAGACCGAGTGGGCTGAGCAGAAAGAACGTCTTGAACAGGAATTGCAAAAGGCATCAGAGACCAATGCATTACTGCAAGACCAACTCGACGGACTGATCCCAGGGCATGAAGCTGAAGCGCCGCAACACCTGCCTGGTACAGCAACGCCAGTGCTGTCCGAGCCAGCAGGCCGTGAGGCTTTGCCCCAACCGATAGAGATCGATTGGAAGGCGAGGCTAGACGCAAAGTTTGCCCAGAAACTTGGTGATTTCTATCCGTCGAGAGCGACTGCGACAGCACCACTCCCTGCAGCGTTGGAGCCTGCCCAAGGCAAGGACGAACAATTCGTCGACGCTCGTGAAACGGCCGACGAACGTATGTCTCACGTTGGCGATGGAGGAGTCGATGGCAAAGTCCCGGCTTCTTCAGGCGATGCCACCGCGCTGATGAGTGGCCTCGCGGAGCTACTCAGAGAAATGAAGTCCAAGAAAGATGATGAAGGCAAACCAAGGGTCAAAGAAGCCGATGCGATTGCCATACCGGACATGCCCACGCCTGAGACTTACCGTCAATGGAAGAATTTGGTCCGTGAGCTCGTTCGATCGTCGTCTGACAAGCCCGATGAAGCATGGGAGTGGATTATCGAGGTTTGGGATCCGAAACCCTCACGTGCTGAACTCGAGGCAAAGCTCCAAAACCCAAGAAAGTTCGTGACCTTGGACACGAAGCTCACCGCTGCTCTCACCAAGTCAGCCCGCGGCGACCTGGGAAATAGAATCCTTAACCATAAGGAAGAGCAAGCGAAGAAAGGAAATCAAACCAGAGGTCGAACAGTACTTCTCATGTTTGATGACTACTTCAAAACGTCTGAGGAGGCAGGTACTCTCTACTCACTAGAAGACCTTTTAAAGGTAGCGAAGTTTGGAGATACAATTGCTGACCTCAAGAAATTCATCAATCGCTGGGATGCTGTGTTGGCCGGTATGAAGAAGGAGCCCGAAGAAACAGTCCTTCGTGATGTTTTGCTCCGTCAGATCCGTCCTAGCACGCTACTCAAGTATGACATTGACACCTATGATCGGGCAAAGGAAGGTGACCCAAGTAAAACGTACTCGTTCCTTGTGAAAGCCATCCGAGACCTGATCGATCGCGAAAGGCTTAGGGAGAATCGAGATCGAATTGTCGACAAGAATCAGCCAAAGCCGAACAATCCCAAAGACAGGGCAGGATTACCCGTGGTGCCCCCAGCCAAGAGGGAGAAAACGCCCCCAAGGGGAAGAACTCCTGATAAAAAGAAGATTCCATGTAGGGACTTCGTGAAAGGGAAGTGCGCAAAGGGAAAGGATTGCCCATACCGTCATGACAAGAAGGATAGATCACCTTCAAGACAAAGGACACCTCGTGTGCCCAGTCGTGACCCGAAGAAAAAGCTCAACAAAGAGGAAATGGCAAAGACTCCATGCATCTACTTTGCACGAGGGGATTGCCGCCGTGGGGACAAGTGTCTGTACCTGCATGAGAAGAAGAGTGCAGCTGCTCCGAAGGACCCAGCTCGGCCAAATTCTCCGAAGCCCAAGAAGGAGCCAAAGCCGAAAAAGTCGGCTACTCCCTGTGTTCGATCAAGCTACGCATGCAGCGCTACTCGCCGCAAGCTCGGTTCGTATCGTAGCCCAACAAAAGAAAGGGTGGCGCAGTATGAGAAACATGTTACCTTCGACAAAAGGGTAGGAGTAAAGAAGATAAATGCTTTTGGTCGGTGCAACCCAGTCGTTCACGGTCCTAGGAAGTATGACGATGTCCTCACTACTGCCGAAGCAGCAAAGAAGTCGGACCCAATCCATGTGTTGAATGCCAAAACGGCAGCCAGAAAATTGCAAGAGGCTGCGAAGCAGTTCGGAAATCTGGTTCAACCATCATGTGGTTTCAATTGCGTTGATGACCTTGAAAGTCTGACTTGCAAGTGTTGTAGGAATCTGCTAGCACCATGCAAGATCAATATCGTGTTGATGCCACCAACCGTCGCCACGCCTGCGCCAAAAGGTCGCCATCAATGGCTCATCGACTCTGGAAGCGAGCAGGACCTGATTAGCGAGTCCATGTTGTCCCAAGTCGGAGCTTACAATAGGCGTAGCACGGAACAGCCGATCAGCTTCATCACAGCGAATGGTTCAACACAGTCTAATGCAGTTGCTGAAATTGATCTCAACACACTGCCAGGGTCGATCACTCCTTACATATCAAACACCGTCGGTCCTTTCGGTTGGCACAAGATGTATGGATCAGGGGTACAGCTTCGTTTGGCCGGCAGGGTCGTCACCGTTCCTTGTCCGTCCAGATGGAAAAGCAGTCGTCCTGAAAGTTGATGGTCATGTTCCCATTTTGGATGATTCATGCCCAGTTGTCAGCACAAAGTCTTTTAAGCCAGCCAAGGTTCGCAAGCTTTTAGCTTTGCCCGGCGTTTCCAAGCCTATCAGGGACGAAGAAGAGGGAATTGATGAAGGTGTGAATCCAGATGACGAGGAGGTAGTAGCGGTGAGGAGCAGAAAGTCAGCCGACCTCATCGTCGAAGCCCAGTCGTCCAAGCACCAATTTCTTCACTTCCCAAAGAACCCATTCTGCCGCACGTGCCAAAGGGCGCGTATGCTCGCACCATACGCCAGGTCTAAGGGCGGACAAGCAAGGGTTGACACAACTCGGTTCGGAGACCACATCATTGCCGACCACGTGCTCATTGAGGCAAACGTAGAAGAAGGCATGAAAGGTGAGAAGGTCGCGTTGGTCATTAAAGACATCCATATGCAGTTCCGGTATGTGTACCCGAGCCAATCTCGATTTGCCGAAGATTGCACTTTTGCCATCAACCACTTTGTCAACGGAAAGGATGAGGTTGAAGTGATCTACACGGAAAATAGTCGGGAATTGAAGGCCGCCATTAAGGAACTTGGCTATAGGCATCAAACGTCAATAGAGTACGTGGACTCTAGCAAGTCGTTCGTGGAACGCGAAATACGACAAATGCTGGAGGGGGCTCGGTCCAACCTTGCGCAAGCAGGGATGCCTTTGCGCATGTGGCCGATGGCGATGCAGCATTTTGCCATAGCCGTCAACGCTAACCCGCAGTTGTCAGGGGGGGACAGTCCATGGTCATTGAGGTTCGGTACGGAGTTCGACGGGATGTGCATTCCTTTCGGTGCCAAAGTGTTATTCTGGAACAACCCTGATAGGGCAGACAACACTGCAGGCAAGCTTTCACCAACCTCGAATGAAGGAGTATTTCTAGGATATCACATTCAGCCAGGTTTTGTGTGGAGAGGGGAGTATCTTGTCACGAAGCTTGAAGCCATCGACTACCATTTGGAGCATGGCAGCGTTGTCATTCAACGCACCAAGCGATTGGAGTTGCCCTCTGAAACCCATGTGTTTCCGCTGAAAGCAAAAGCAGACAGCCTTGAGCCACCTCCAGAACCAATTGCTGATCGTGTGATCCCTCCTGTACCCGATCCGATCATTCCACAACAATCTGATTTGGAGTACACACCATCCATCGCGCCTGACCCCGTAGTGGAATCTGCCCAGGAGAAGGAGCCGCCAGTTGACGTCGAGATGAAGAAGTCCAGCGCTGAGCCTCGCGAACCTGGGGAGACTATGCCCGACGGGTCGATCGTACCGGATGGTTATCACTATGACGGAGTAAGGCTTGTAAAGACCTACAAAGGTTCGAAGCGGCCACGAAGCATCCCTTCGGAACTCTGGAAAATGATGGGTCCAAGACAAAGGGAAAAAGCAATTCGTGAGGAAGAACAAAAGAAAGATGAAGGAGTCACCAGTTCCTCATCAAAAGCCGCATCGACGCTCCGGTCATCTGGTAGCCAATGGGAGGTGCTCCCAGCAAGAAAGAAGGTATTGATGGATGAGTCGTTCGCAGTTCCCTGCATGCCCAGAACCAGGGGGGCCGTCAATGAAGCCCACAGACAGCCTATCTGGCAGATGCTTGAACAACATATCAAGCGCCTCGAATTCAAGCAGGATATCGAGATGTGGGCAGCAGTGGCGAGGCTCGTTTCAAAAGAAGAAGTTGCAAGAACACCAAAAGCAAAAGAAGCACTTGATCTCGAATGGAACAAGCTTAGAACGAAAGGTGTATGGGATGAGAAGCTCGTACGTGAACTTCACAAGATTGTTCAGGAGGCCCGAAGAAAGGGAGAGAAGGTTCATCTGGGTAGGATATTCGAGGCCTGCTATGAAAAAGGCTCAGAATTACCAGAGAATGATCCCAGAAGAAAATTCAAAGGGAGAACAGTATTCCAGGGCAACAATGTGAGGGACGAGAACTCAGACCACGCACTATTCGCTGAGCTCGGCTCAAGCCCCGCCTCGATGGAGGCTGCCAAGATTTTGGATGCCTTCGGTTGTCAACCAGGGTATGGGAAAGAGCAAGCAGATGCAATTCAAGCGTATGTTCAAGCAACCTTCAACGGAATCCCAACATGGCTTGAACTACCTCGCAACAGGTGGCCAAAGGATTGGGAAGAGAAATATTGGAAACCCATGGTCCCAATGGTTTTAGCATTGTACGGACACCCTGACAGCGGGGGTATTTGGGAACAACATCTAAATGCCAATCTAGCCAAAAAGGGATGGCGTCAAATTTTGCCTGAAATGTGGCAATCAATCTTCAGGCATGATGAGTTAGATCTCATCCTGGTGGTCTACGTCGATGATTTCAAGATGGCAGGACCCAAGAAGAACTTGGCTAAGGGCTGGGCCGGTATTCGCTCGGTTGTTGATCTGGGCGAACCAGAGCCCTATGACAGGTACTTCGGGTGCATGCACGTTGAAAAGAACGGTATCAAACTTCCCGTCAGTGCTCATCCATTCGCACATGTATTTGATCCGCAACGCGCAAGCGCATGCTCCGCACAGATCCATCGAAAGAATGACTATTGGGAGCGTGACCCAAACCATCAAACATGGACGCGCCACCACCTGCAACCAAGGAAGAAGCTCTTCTTCCCTGGTGATGAGGGGGGCCAGTTTAACGGTTCAATCAAGTCTAAAAGGACAACAGTGTTCAATGCAGCCGTGATCATCAATGACGGTTCACAAAGCGCAACGAACACTCGTTTGCCCAAAGAACGAATCGCCACCTATGAAGACGACTGGACCCTCAAGAACCCAAACATGAAAGCCGATATCTTTTGGACCGGCAAAACCATTTTTCATTATGGTGACAACAAGCCTAGCGCTGCCGCACCATCGAAGAATCGGCCAGGTCCACACCGATCAAAGCGGGAGGCAAAGAAGGAGGCAAAGGAGCAGCGCTTCAAGCCGATCGAGAGTGTTGCGCCGAAGCCTGCTGGTTGCATGACCAAGCCTGTGAATCTCGTGAGGTACGATATGTCATCTTTCCTCGAATCATGTGTTGAAGCTTATTGCAAACTAGCTCAAGTTAAGCCAGAAACACTCAAGAAAAGCTATACGCCATTCACGGAGCTCGGTATTCCGAAACCAACGCTCTCTGAGAAAGAGGAGCCCGGAAGACTGCAGCCCATTGCCAGTAAGGTTCTAATGAAGATTCTCTTTGCAGCCCATATGGCCAGGTTCGATTTACTCCGTGCCACTCAATCACTCGCATCAAGGGTAACGAAATGGTCAATCGAGTGTGATGTAGGACTACACCGACTGGTATCCTACATTCATCATACCAAGAATCAATACTTGGAGGGCTTTGTAGGTGATTCATTCGAAGAATGCCAGCTTTGGCTATTCGCAGACGCCGACTTCGCGGGGGAACATGATTCCAAGTCAACGACAGGAGTGACCATGATCCTCGTGGGCCCTAGCACATACTACCCGCTCAATGCATATAGCAAGAAACAAACTGTGACATCAATGAGTTCCACGGAGGCTGAAGTAGTAGCTGCCAACCACGGTGTTCGCGCCGAGGGAATCCCAACCCTAGCATTGTTCGAGCAACTCATGCTGTTCAAACAGGCACCGGATGCAGCAGCTCGCCTCGCAGCGATGCCCAAGCAGGAAGGCATCTTCACTATTATCGACCCAGAGATCGATGCCATGCGAAATGGAAACGTGGACTCAGGGCTGAAGGCAGGTCATATCAATGGTATGGTTGCATACTTCCCTGAATTTTGCAGAGTCAAGCTCATGGAAGACAACCAAGCTACCATTACGATTTTGTCTACTGGCCATTCACAGTCAATGCGTCACGCCAATCGAACGCAATGTGTTTCGTTTAGATGGCTAAAGCAACAATTTGAGTGTGGTCAGTTTGAATTAGTGAATGTAAAGACAGATTTCCAAGTCGCCGACATCCTGACGAAACCCTTCACGAGTCCTGCAAAATGGGAGCATGCGCTGAGGCTCATTGGAATCGGACCTTCATTGGTGCAATCCACTGATCGAAGCGAGGCGCGAGCCTCCGCCCCAGCAAACGTGTCATGTGAAGGCATTGATCAGGGGGGCGATAGCTCGAAATACCCACATCGCCTAGTGGTAGAATTCTGCTGTTCATCAACGTCCAAGCTAGGTGAACAACGAAAGCCAGCAAAGAACTGCAAGGTAATTCGCGTCACCGAGCAAGAGGATGGAACTTCAGAAAGCTGCCGACAATGGCTAGCCCAGGAGATTGAAGCGTTCAAGAAGGTCCACCCAAACGGAACGGTATTCTTTTACGCATCGCTCCCATGCACGGGAGGCAGTCCCTGGACGAACGTGAACAAAGATTTGCCAAACGGTAGTGAACGAATCGCAGAGCAGCAGCAACTATTCGGTAAGCTATTCAAAAGCTTCAAGCGCTGCATTGCAGATGCCAGCCCGCACAAGCCAAGTGTAACCTTTGAACTGTCAAAGAACTGCAAGTACTGGTCGTGGCCCAGCGTGCAGAAGTTTATCAGCGACTACAAGCTACGACAGCATGCATTCCATGGATGCCAGTTCGGTCTTAAAGGATTGAGCGGTAAACCCCTAAAGAAAGGATGGAAGATAGCTACTGACGTACCACAGCTTGCAACGCTTGATAACTACATATGCAGTGGAGATCACGTACATGAACAGTCAAGAGGTAAATCCTTAAAGCTTGCTGCGGGGTACACATTTGAGCTGACTGACATGTTGCATGACGCATTTCGTTCGCGTACCGTAGAGCTCACACGGCCCAAGCCCATTCGTGCAGTCGCTTGCTATCCATCACCTACCATGGCCCAGCCGGAACGTCACTACTCTGAGCACCAGCTGGAGATTCTTCGTGGGTGGGATACACTATTTCAGCGGCTGCTGACGAGCTCCATCTTTGCTGATGTCGGTCAAGACCAAGGAGCCCAGGAAATGGCCCTTGGTTTGGCTCACGACCACACGGCGCAATCCGTTGTCGACACGTGGCGTGAGAGCTATGAGTGTGTTCAACACATTCTGAACCCATTCATTGAGGCCAAGCGAAGCAGCCTAGCCTATCATCGCCCGCCGTCAGCAGTGACAGGCCCAGTGTACCAAGTGCTGATCAGCGACAGTACACTGGCCATGGTATCAGGCGGAAAGAAGACCCGCCAACGCCATGATTTGGAGCGAGCTTTTCACGACAATCGATGCCGGCATGTGCTACAATTTCACCACGAAATGCATTGGGGTGCTGAGCTGCGGACGCTCATCAAACGCGCGATCATTTGCGCAAGAGCCATCCGCAAGGATGTGCCCGATGCCCGGATCTATGTGAACGTGGTGTGGGCCGGCAATGAGCTCGTGGGCGAGAACGGGATCGTGTCTACAAATAGATATCCCTATACTGAGGCAAAGGGCGACCCAATCAAAATCGAAGCCGACACCAAGAGGCACTTGACTTGGTACGTCGAGCAGGGTCGAAAAGCTGGATGCAATGTCCTAGCCGTGTCGTGTATCCCAAATGCAAGCATCTATGAGCTGCATAGCATTTACACGCACTTCGGCAAGGACATCAAGCGCTGGTTTAGAGAGACCTTTGCGGAACCGGACGTCGTGATCATCGATCTGGATCCGCTTTTGTGGCAGATGGAGTTGAAGGATCAGTTTCACATGACGTTTTGTGACAAAAATCAGTCGCGTGTCCTAAGTTGGTTTAATGCCAACTTTTACATCCTCCATCTATCAGCCATTCTCTCGCCCCACGTCCATGGGATGAACGAGGCCAATCAGCGGAACGGGAAGAGAGACCTACGTGTGCTAGACGCGAGTCTAAGCCCGTTCACGCCAGCCAGTGAGGAGTACAGACAAGCTGTCATTGATGTGATCCACCGAAGAGAGGAAAATAGGAAGCGCATTGAAGCAGCCTCAAGGCCATTGACCGTCGAAGAGGTTCGCCGTGAGCAGCCCGATCTCGATGAGTATTTGGAAGAGGACGAAATCATGGAGCTCCCTATTGCCGTGGCTACCAAGACAGATGATCCGATGAATGACGATGACGCCCCACCTGTGACGATCGCCCGCACTGCAGTGAAGGAGGAAAGTGATGATGAAGAGGAGCCCGCGCCAGAAGCCGAAGCTGCGCAATCCGTGCAGCCATCATCGGCTAGCCCAAAGGCAAAAGCAATGCCCTCGGCTTCATCCGCTCCAAAGAAGGAGAACCTTCGTGCAGGGCGCATCACGAAGGAGGAGTGGGAGGCGATGCTCCTCGACAGCCAGTTCGAGGAGACGTACATCATCAACCACCACCTGTCAGGTCAGGCCGAGTATCGGTACACCGAGGTGGAAGATGTACACGGCAAGGTTGTGCCTGGAGTGATTGTCGATGGCCACCCTTATGAGCTCATCCTCATAAGCGGTTGGAGCTTCGAATCACCTCCCAGATGGTATCGCCTACCACAATGGCTAAAGAGCCACCTGACCAGGGCCTCTGGCATTCTGCGTGGGAACATTACCACGAACGACTGGGACACTCAACACGATGAGGACAGATTTCTTGATCTGAACCAGTTCGTTAGCGCACTCTTTGCAGAGTTGCCCGAGGCCAAGATGAAGGTCACAGATCTCATGCATATGGGGAAGCTCGATAACAAGGATCGTTTCGAGTACCTTGCCATCGCTGGCTATCAGCGAGCGACAGCGATCAATCAGACCTATTGGCCGCTGAAGATCCGCGCAGCATCAGGTCACAACAATCAGTTCATCCGATCGGAGAGTGACCTATTCTTCAATGCTGACGTTATCTACGTCAGGCACCAGGATGCCGGAAGAGACCTTTCCAGCTTCCGTGGCACTGGTGTGCCGGTGATGGAAAGCATTGAAGACGTTCCCGCCATGGCCTACCACCGCACGTTTCATGCCGCAATCAAAGGAATACAACAGGACGGCCTACTTGTCGGCGGTGGAGCCCGGCGCAATTCCGGCAGAGCCCACATTTATCTGGCACGGAGTCAGATCCGCCAGAATGAAGTGGTGCCAGGGAACAGAAGGTTGAACCCGATTGAGGTGGTGATTGCTCTGCGTGAGGCAGTAGCCGATGGCCTGATCTGCTTTACCACCAAATCTGGCGCTGTGCTGTCGCCCTACAACATTTCGAGCGCATATATTGTCCACATCCGGGATACCGAGAAGGACATTATCCTCTGGTCAAGGTCCAACGCGACGAGAGCCGTTCCCAAAGCGCAGCAAGCCTCCCGCGAGGGAGTGCCCTCGACTGCGCCAGCGGCAAGTTCAGCAGGAAGCACTGACGTTGCGATGGAACCTGTACCGACCCAGAAGAGGGAGCGCCCGGAAGGTGAAGAGCCAGAAGCCGAGGAAGACCTTGAGGTCATTGTTCCAGAGCCGCCTCAGGAAGCTCAGCGAGAAAACATTCCTACTGAGGAAATCATGTGTCCAGGATGTGGTGCAAACCTCGTCAGTGGCACGATTGTGTGCCCCGCGTGCAATACGAACATCACGGGCACATCTGAGGTGAAGCGTGGCATCCTCGCAAAGAGAAGGGAGCTGCTCAACAAGCTTGGCTACAAGTATCTTGATGCGGACACCATCGAGAGAATCGGCAGCCAGAGCAAGCAGTTCCGCGAGGAATCTGCCCGAGGTAATCGCAGCCCTGAAGGCGACTACGTCGGAACTGCAAGACAGCAGTTGAAGAGAGCCATCGGCCTAGGATATACATCCATGGCTGACCGCTATGAAAACGACGTGCAGTTCGTGGAGCGGATGACCGAGCACAACATCACATTGCTCGACATTCAACTGCGAGACATAGTGGCACACGGCCATCTTCCAATGCCCCCACGCACCCGTGCTCAGGTTGATCTTGGAGTGGGAATGCGGACCGCAAATGACCTGGATTTCGCAAAACTGATGTATGTGGACGAAGACATTGCGGACATCACCAGCAGCGACCCAGGCCTCTTGGAACGCTTTGAACACTCTCATTGGGTGATCATCTGGCAGCGTGAGCTCTATTCGCTCAAGGAATTCCAGGACCTCTGCGATCACCGCAAGACCCGTGGCAAAGGTACCAATTTGCTGACCTTTACCTGCGTCATGGAGATCGTTGAGACACCATCCATGAGAGAGCTTCACGAAACCATTGACAGCTCATTGCCAGTCGCTCAACAGCTTGTGCAAAAAAAGCGTCATCAAAGTGAACGAGCAGCTGAAAGGAATGCAGCCAAGGGCCGTGGAAAGGCCAGCAGAGCACATGTTGCTGCCTCTGTCCGCAATGCTCACGCTGTTGCCCCAAAGACACCGCCAAAGGCTGCACCAAGCCAGAGGGCTACTCCATCAGCTGAACCGGAAGGGGAAAGTTCACCAAGCGCTGGTTACAATGCGATTGGCCAGATTGACATTTGCCAGATGCCTACGGCAAAGTTCCCACCAAGCCCACCGACTACCTTGCAGCATCCACCTGCACCAAAGACGCCACCGATCCCTTCACCAGCATCTACTACAACATCGAAGTCCGTGCCTGTGAGAGATGCAAGAGAGGGAGCTCTCCGCACAGCTCGCGCTGTTGCCCGAGAGTATCAAGATGGTGACCGCTGGGGATACTACACCTTCTATCAAGGGCAATGGTGGACACGTGACTACTATGGACGGTGGTCAACTGGGAACTGGCGATCCTACTAAATTCGAGCTGCATGCATGCATTTGAAGCGTGTGCCATAGAGTGATCTTTAAAAGAAGATTCACGCTGGCATCACGGCTTAGCCCGATCATAGCTGCTAATTCGCGCGTCGCTTGCGAAAGCAGAGGGGGGTGTTGAAATACATCACCTAAAGCTAAGCTTTTACGCACAATGCCAATTCTTGGCTCAAGCACGCAGCTCATCGCGACAAAAAGGAGCGCTAGCAGTTGCAGCTTAGCGGAATTTGACTGTATTTTAGTGGTTGAGCCTGAAAATACACTGTTGAGAGCACCGCTCGGGTGTTTGAATCGCTTTGAGAGAGAGAGAGAGATGTTTCCAGCAATCCGGAGAATTGTCTATGAGGAAGTGTCCACTAACACATCATTAAGTCCGGTGTTCGAAACAACCGAACACTTGTAATTACTGACTGCGATTCGGAAGCACATTTGTACCCACAAATGAATGAGTTTCACACACATCACCAGCAACTGAAAGGGAATTATGGACCAATGGAAAGAAAAGTCCCCAACCCACACCTTTAGAGCCTTCCCGACACTGCATGTCCCGGTCCCGAACTGACAAAACACCTCCAGCAATTCAAACAAACCAAATCCTTTTTTCACTCCATCATACTTCATCAATGTAGATGCACTTTTGCTCCGCCATACGCTAGTTCCCTGGCGCCGCCCACACCGCCGAATCCGACCGGTCGCTGGGACCGCCTCGAAGCCCGAGGTGCGCTTGAAGACGTCCGGGCCCGGCCCCGCGAAGCGGGTCACATTCTCGGGCGCCGCGGCTCGTGCCTTCCATCGGAGTCCCTTGGAGCGGATGGGTCTTCTCGACTGGAGCTGTCCGACGCACGGTGTGCTCAGGTTTGGGCCTCCAGCGAGGTGGTCGTATTCAAATACAGGGCTATACCTCATCGGTGCGAGATGGGATGGAGGAGATGGAATGGGATGCCACAGACATGTCCAGGGAATTGGAAGCACTGGACCACCATCCAACTAGGGGATATTGAGCAGTTTAAGGCACATTTAAGGCAGGGAGATGCAGGGAGTCTCTATATAATTGGCTGACAAAAATTCATCAAAATGCTATTTTCACCCTGTTAGAGGATGTTGGAGGCGGAGGTGGTGGTTTAAAGTCCCCGAGCGCTATCATATGTTATCTGAAGACATAACAAACAAGCACAGCCAGTGGTGTTTAAGGCAAGTTGAGGCCCTCTCAGGGACAGCGGATAGAAACCAGACGCCCAAACAAAAGAACAGAGACTGCACCACGGGTCACCGGCAGTTTATGACTCACACGCCAGGGTCTTCGCCCGGTCGCCCATCCGGACCTCTCTAGGTCGGTCGGTCGTTCCAGGAGCTGCACTTCCAAGATGTGCATCCGGGCGTGTGCATCAAAGTGGTGGCCACCGCAGCAATGCTCGAAGCCTACCACACGCGAAAAGGACGGGAACCCCCGAAGAGACAAAAACGTATCTTCAGAATTCTTCAGAGCTCTATATTCTGTAGATATTATTATAGGAGGTTCTTTTGTAGAATTCTGTAGATATATATATATATCCTATATATTATACATTATTATACGATATGATATGATCCTATGATATCCTTGTTTTGATCTGGTGGGATCAGGACAGCTACTCGAAGCTGTTCGACCGTCGACCTGGTCGACCCGGTTGACCCGCACCGTTCGACTGGCGCGTTGCGTTGGGTCCGTGCCGCCCCGTTCTCCGTGCGGCGCGGTTTGAAAGGTCGACCTCCGAAGAGGTGCTTCAACTTGGAGATCTTGTGAAGCATTTGGAGAAGGTGGGGTCCAGAATGGTCCAGATGAGGGATGGTTTGGGATCCATTTGGGTTGAGGATGTTGATTAGGATGAACACCGGCCATGAACACCCACACGGGCTCCAAGCCCAGAGTCATGTGAAGCCGCTTGTTAGAGGATACACTGAGGCTTCGGCCTGTTCAAGGGCGAAAGGCTGACTGAAGGAGGATCTCACTGATGATGGGTCATCCCCATAGCCTGACAAGCAAGGCCACTGAAGACTTCTCGAACTTGCCAGAAGCAGTAAAGGTCACCTCGTGGAAGCCTAGCGCCCTCCCTCCCCGACCTCTTTCACGTAGGAGCACAGATGGCCGGCCTAGATACATCCCTGAAATGACACGCAGAGAGCCCCACCATGCGAGAGAACCCACAACCCTCAGTCCAAACATAGACACCCAGAGAAGACGAAAACGAAGACCAAACGAAGTCGATTTCAACCACCGAAGAGTTGGAACTTGCTCGCCTCGTCACGCATACCCGTGACGCATCTTGCTCGCCTCGCCTCGCGTCAGGTGAAGAGCAGGAAAGCCAAAGCCGTCGTGACAGTGGAGGCAGGAGCTGAAACATGCTCAAGCAAGTGCTGAACCTTTGTGGATAGAAGAGGAGGCAGAGTAGGCCATGAATAGACCCTGTGTGAAGCCAAGGGTTCTGGGAATGAAGGGCTGTTCAGAGCTGCTAGTATCCTCCTTAAAAAAAACTGGACAATTGAAGGGATTGCCAACGACGCAAGTCAGCCGAGCTTCAATGTAGCAGACAGAGAATACACAAATTTGATCAAATCTGTGCACACTTGGATTCTGCCCATCCTCACTAGTTGAGTCTGTATGTTCGCCCTGTGTGTGGTACAGCCGACTAGCCTACAGTGTGCTTCCTGCAAGGGGGGCAGGTTCTCTGACTTTTCTTGGGTTTGATGCGTTTGCGTTGCCGATTCTACTGTAGATGCTCGACTGAATTCGCTTGGCGCAGGCCATAGCAAAGCAGGTTGGAAAGTTACAGCATGAAGAGTCAGCAGTCCAAGTGCTGAAGAGCGGAGATCGATCCTGACGGGCGAAAGGCCCTATGGCCCATTATGGCCCTATGGTGAAAAAAAAACAAACGCAGCTACTTGTAGCATGTCAGCAGGTCTCAGGTCTCATTGCCATGTTTGGAGATGTATGGAGACCTTCGTCATATACACTTATACACTGCTATCACTGGAGGACCAACCTTCAGTTACCAAAACTCTTCCTAAACCCTTTGAGTTCATGTCTCCCAAGCCCTTGTTTAAGGTTGCATTCAGGGTCGCGTTGTTTTGACAATACATCTCCAAACTGGGCACCGGGATTTAAAAAGGCAAAGTCGGCAAAGTCGTGTTTGGAAGGTACTTGTACATGTTCAGCCCTTCCAGCTTGGGGTTATGGCTTCATCTCGACCTGCGGTATGGACGGTCAAGGCTGGCCATGCAGCCGGGCGAGTTCGCGGCCGTGCGCAGCATCGAGCGAGGATCCCCGGTGTGTGGCAGGGGCAGCTTCTTTTCGGCACCCACCGACACCTCGCTTAGCGGCCGCCCAAAGAAGGAGAGCACAGGAACCCAGGAAATCCGAATGGGAAAACATGTGTCGGTTGGGGATCAAAATAGCAAACAGCAGCCAGTCCCTATGACACCTGTGCTTGACCGAGATCTCACGCGGTTTTTCGCGTGATCTGTTCTGCAGAGAGAGACCTGAAAGCTGGACATTTGGGGTCGAAACACTGTCCAATACCCTCTTAGGATCTCTTAGAAGCAATGGCCTCCAACCTACTAGCGATTGCCTGTAACCTAGATGCCAATATTCATTTCTTCACATCCCTGTTTGGGCAGTATTGCACATCACCTGACCCGGGACCCCCCTTTTTATCTAGTTGAATTTTGCCTTCAAGACAATGAATGAACATCAAAAGCAATTTGGAGCTCGCAATGGCTCCGGGAAGTGTCGCATCAACCAACACCTAACTCACTTTATTTTAGAATATATATATATATATATAGCTGTGTGTTTCAAGTTCCAAGTATTTTTGTACCTTCCTGCTTTGGTTGTGCACTGTGCTTTGTGGAGGTTGTGCTAGCATCCCTCTTGATGAGCCCCAATTTCTCCCTCCAAAGAGAACTTGCCTGCGGTACGGGTCTGCCGAGACCACATTGGAAGAAAATCCTGTAACTGTAACCAATCGAAGTCCAGGAGTTGCTGATAGTGTTTTGGTCGCACTGCACTGGGGTGAATCCGCTTCTCCAAGAATTTCAACTCTGATGTTTCCCAGATACGTCCCAGACCAGATCTGGCACCCTCAGGTTGCAATGCCCGTCCTCGAACACCACCTGCCAGTGGCGTTTGTGGGATGCGCAGGCCGTTTGTGGGATGAACCATTGATAATGATTACGGCTTCCATGGGCATGTGCGATGACGGTTTGCCTTAGCCTTACTGTATTTGGGGAAGAAATTCTTGGGAGCGTGGTGAGGAAGTCAATGTTTACAGGTCCCCCATGTTCTATGCATTCCGCGTGCTTTTTGAAGGTGTTGCATTCCCCCGTTCGTCGGGGGCTTGTGCTGTTTCGGTGCAGACCTTGCTTTGGAGAGCTCTTGATTCATCGAGGTACCACCCAAAACAGGTGCAGAACACTGAGTACCTGCCGGTTGACGGCAATGCTACGTCGATATGGACACCATTGGAGATCAGCATGGTTCAAGAACTTCAAGAACTTGAGGCCCAAGAACCTTCAAGAACCCCGATACCTGGCCCATCCTGGCCCAGGTTCTTGTCCATCTATGTCCACATTGCATTTACACCACGCATGACCTACCTACCTGATGATTCATGCATATCAAACTGGGGCCTACACCGGGTTCAATGTGTGATAATTTGTGTATTCCTGGGCTGTGTGTGTGTGTGAAAATATGAATCACAGCCTACCGCGTTTCCCCCTCCTGTTCATGTTTTCCTACTCAACATCAGTTGACGATGTCTTGCTTGGAATCGGCGTAGGCCGAGCAGTTTGGTGAGGCCTTGAAAGGCGGGTTGCGATTCGTTCACCTACCCGTTCAGGGTGTGGGTTTTGACCCAAGTGAGACCCCGTGGCAAGCTCACAGGAGGTGTTTGGTTTCACAAAAGTCTGGGCGATGACAACTTGTGGTTGTTTTGAGTGGCATAGGCTGCAACTCGGCAGTTCGGCTGGAGTTCAACCGCGCTTGGCTGCGTACCAGCTCCATCGACTCATCGACCAATGGGGGCGATGTTTTGATGACTCCAAGACTCCCACTACTCAGGAGGTGTTCCCACATGTTCCCATGTTCCCACTACAACTGCACATGGACCTGTCTGGAATTCATAGGGCAGATCATAGCGATTATACAAGTTGTTTCATGTCGTTTCTATGTGTTTCTTCGTCTGTGACATACGTCGAGGTTGGGTCCCCGAACCCCTGGCCCGGCTCGGGCCTTAACGCCCAGTGGCAACCTTCGTAGACCACATCCCTATCCCTTCCCTTCCAAAAGCTACGTTCGGGGCTTCTGGCCTTTACTAGGAGCGGATCGGACGCGACTCGAAAGGACACTCCTGGCATCGCTCACGAACGGAGCAAGAAGCTACGAACGTAGTAACAATAGCACCTCGCCCAGTCATGGGCACCTCCACGCATCGCTCCGGCTGGAGGCCATCGCCTTCGCATCAACGGCACCCGCGTGCGCGATGCGCACGGGCAACCCGAGCTCACCGGATGCGTCATGCGGCTCAGTCACCGGATGCGTCCGGTGGTGTTGTTTTGCTGGGTGGTCGCAGAGATGGATTTGCTCGGTTGGTTCGTTGTGTTCTTCCTTTTTTTGGGGGGGGTATGGGAGGGTAGGAAAGCATAGTTTGGTTCCCTCGTTTCTGTGAGGGGATTTGTCTTTGCCGCTTCAATCATTATGTTGCATGGTTTGAAAGCATCGCGTGGAAGAACTGGGGCGATACAGCACTGAGCCTTCTTCTCCACACGTTTATTGAATATCTTCTATTCGTGTTATCTCCGTGTTCAAAGTTGGCTTGAGGCCAGCATGAGCATCACATCCTGAAGCAACATGAAGCAACGGGATGCAGCATTTCTCGCAGATCCGATCCTTTCCAAACGTACCACTCAAGGTGGCTCGCCTCTGGTTTGTTGGAAATTGCCACATTTAAGAATTTAACACTTGAGTTAAAGAAGTCAGAGGTATGGCCAGGCTTTCTTGCAGAATCAGCGGAAGCTCTGGAGGCGGAAAGAATCCTGCACAGTGCCGCTTGCACACCCAATTGATTGCTGCGGCTGCAGCCCTTGAGGGGTCACTTCATGAAGAAGACAAAGAAGATTGGTATCTCGTTTGTTCAACTACAGTGTGCAAAAATGCCAGCAGTTTCCATTCCATGTGTTATTTTGTGAGGAAAGGTCGCACACTGAGTCACTGAGTCTTGTATCTCGAAGATACTCATAGGACTCATGGCACATTCAGATGTGGGTCTAAGCCCCCCAAGCATGGGATCAGTGTGCTCTTGCCAGGTGGTGACTTCTTGATAGTTGTTGACCGTTCTGTCCAACGCGGGCTAAACGTGACAAAAACACAAGTAACAACGAGTTTAAAAGGGTCAACAAGTCAGTACCAGGATAGCTAAGCTGCCAGTTGAACATCCACGATGTCAGTACGCTTTTCTTCAACTCGATGAAGTGCGTGGCTGCACGCGACCAGGGGACCGATCTGGGGGTCTGGATCGGCGGGAGCCAAAAGGAAGAAAAAGGATCCTTCCCGGCTGGAGCTGTGTTGGCTAGGGGAGCCGGTGCGAAATCCTTGAGATCCAGGGGGTTGGCCAGCATGGCACAGAAATCAGCAGCCAGTGGGGAACCTTGAGTTTGGCTGGGATGGGTTTGCCAAAATACTTGTACCACTGGAAATTGCTTGAATCCACTTGTTAAAGCGAAGATATTCTACCCCTATATAGGTGTTTTGGTTCATGGGGTGGCACTGCAAAGTGTTTTGGTTCATGGGGTGACACCGCAAAGTGTTTTGGTTCATGGGGTGGCACCGCAAACCACTTGTATCACTGCCCTTAACGTTGCTTATCACTTGATGTCTTCTGCGCATTCTCCAATCTCAGCAGCTTCAACCATGAGGCGCACGAACCATCGACCAAAAAGCCAACACGTTGCATGGTTTTGCCACGTGTAAAAAGAACTCAACGGTTTCATTAAGGATACGAAAGCGCGACCAGTTCAGTTGTTCATTCCAAACTGGTTACCAGGAAAAGATCTTGCAGGTGATGTTATGATTGTGAACCTTTCACACAATCGAACATGGACTCAACTATGAAAGGTAAGCCGAGTATCACAGCTATCTGTTGGTTTTGCAAGATCCTTTTGCCAGAACCAAGCCTTGGCTTCCTTTAATCTGCAGCTGTGCCAGAAAGTGGTTCCAGGGTCCTCCAAGTGATATCAACGCTTTTGACATCGAAGTGCAGTTTTCAGCTTGGCACAATGGCGGTGAGCTTTGACACAGTGCTGGTGGGAGATGACTCAGGCACAGAAAGTATGGTCGGACAGGCACACAAAGGTTCAGCGCGTCTGGTGTGGGTCCAGCAATCCATTCTGTTAGTTAGATTGGATTTTATTGTACATATTCTGGATTTGGCGATGGGGCCTGGGAGATGGCTTCTCAAGAGGGGGCTGCCAGAAAAGAACGGAAACTGTACCCAATAAATGCTTAATGCATTTTAAGGGGCATTGTGTTGCTTTCTATGCAGGGGCCACCAGATTTTATCACTTGCCTCCAAGCCACAATATACTGTACACATGTATTTGATCCAATCACCTGAGACTTGAATCTTTTTGTTCGTTCACATATATACTTGGGGGATCTTGGGGGACGTGGCAAGCTCTGGCAAGCTCTTGATGGCAGGTGTGGAAGAGGAAGTCAAGAGGGCTATCATGTCCAAGACTGAGCTGGAGGAGATTTGGACGAAGCACGCCTCGATTTCATCTCCTCCTGAGCCAGTTCCAGACATCGACTTTGAGACGGTCTCATCCTTAGTTCGGAAGCCTTCGGACAAGTTCCACTCAGCGAGGTAGCCAGTTCTTTCACCGAAGATACAAGCTGTGGTACGAAGCAAAGAACAACGCAACATTTCGCTCAACACACCCACTAATTGGTAAGATCTGACTATAAAGTTGATTTGTCACAAGCTTGCTTAAAGGAGCTTGTGCCAACATAGAAAGAAGCCAGCACAGCACAAACCGTATTCATCCGTTTTCCCATAGTTCATCAGGTTCAATTCATCAGTTTCAATCATAGTTGTTTGATGTTTTTGCTTTTGTCAGTTAGTGTTTTTGTCCTGGGGCATTGCTGGGCATTGCTCGATTGCAGACATCGACCTTCCCAAAACTCAGTGCATCCCTCAACAAAGGGTGTTCCAACACAACCATTGAGGAACAGTGTTGAATAGAACCAAATCCACAAAGGCTCAGAACCTCATTTCTTTGGCATCCAGAAGGGTTTCTTCGGATCTAAGACCCCTCCGTACTCGTTTTCTGTGCTTTCTCCCTATGTCCAGCCACCGAGGAGATGGTGGTTTGTGCCTTTGCGGGCGAGCAAGGCTCCGGGGGCTACACGATCCGTGTGACCAGCGTGGAGGATTTGGAGACGGAACGCAGCTGGGGAGAAGTATAGTCAACTATACCCAGCATAGTCACTGAATAAATAGTCGCACTAGTCACTAGTCACCATTGAAATGGGTTAAAGGATGTCTTTCGGTTGGAGGGAACAGGTCCGGCAAGATGCCATTGTGGTCCCTGCGTGTTGCTGTTTGTAGGGGCAATACAATCACCACAAGAGTATCCTTCCTATGTTGTCACTGACCCACATTCTTCACACTTTTGCACGCGTTCCATACTGCTTTCGGCCCCCCCTGGGTGCAAGTCCGCAAGTCCAAGGCAAGATCACCATCGAGTTCACGTGTCCTCCAGCCACAGCGATCACCACCTGTGACCTGACGCAGCCTCATCACATCGTCCGAATGCCCAAGACGTCCTTGCCGATCACCTTCACAGCTGCCTGTTGCAAGAAAAGGTGATGAAACATTGACATGATGAAACATGATGAAACGATATTTCCAGATTGGGGGTTAGATGTTAGGCGTAACCACCACAGATGATTGAATTATATATAATTGAATTACAATGCATTTCATGTTTGTCACAAAGACTGACTAGATGCCTTTGGGGCATGGCTAAATTGCGCTCCACCAGGTTTTGATCCACTTTCACTTGCAAGGATGTCACGCCAGCTACGCGGCCAGCGGAAGTTTGAATCGCGGGTGCCCAGGCGATGATAGGCTTTGGGCACGTGTCAGGGGGCTAAGTAAGAATTTGTTAATGTATAATATACATATATATACATATACTGTAGTTGCAAACAAATCGCAGAAGGCAAATATGGTGTCAAATTGTGAAAGGAAAGGGATAGGAATTATGGCAGCGAGCCTCTACGTGGAACAATATAGACTATATAGTACCGATTCCCTGTCGCAAGCTTCAAGAAAGGTCGCAAGATGTCGCCAGAAGACAGTCAAGATAGTCAAGTGGTGCTGGGTGAGTGAGTGTTCGTGACAAATGCTGACGAGAGAAAACACAGCTTTCGGATAGGGAACACGAAGCCAACGCTCCATATGTCTGGGTTTGTAGTCCCTGTCAGACCTGTGCCCATCTTGATTCCATGCATAAAAGAAAACACAATCAAGTCTTGCTGTAGCATCATGTTGTAGCCACATGGCACGATCTCTCGTTTGCAAGAGCAGATTCGGCTAGTCTCCTGAAAAAGATGTCCCTTGGTCGGTTAGCTGCAGAGGCTCAGAGGATGCTCGAGAGCATCGATGAAAGATGGATGAATGAGGATGAATGGCTTTCTCTACACTTGGTGATCATTCCTCAAAGAGGATGACTTCAGTAGCGGAGATCCCTAACTCGTTTTCCTTCTGGGAGCATTCCCACTCAGATGTAAACACTTACGGAAATAAAATTCAAGCGCGCTTCCTTTGCTGCACTTGCCTTGCTGCACTTGCCATAGCATTCTATGTTTTGTTTCACGAATCGATTTGTAATTCAAGGCCCTTCGAAGGATACTTGACTGGCATTTTCAGAGCTAGCGACTTAAGGAGTAGTCGAGCTGTGTTGTGAATGATCACACCTGGCCGATGATTTGTCCAAGGACAACGCCAACAAGACTATACGTGTTCACTTGAGTCTTTTGCATGTCCAACCAACCAACAGACGGCGCAGCCGTGTAAACCCAAAACCATTTAGGTGCAGCCATCTACATCCATCTACCAAGAAACAGACGTGGATGTAGATGGTCGGAGATGCCACTGCATGGTTTTCTACCAGACATGTAGAAACACTGGATCTACCAACAACCATCTACATGTTACCTGGTTTTTGCCACTGTTTCCTGTTGGTTTTCGCCTTGGCGACGCTTGGAGCGCGCCGCAGTGCGCAAGCCAAGATTTAGATGTCATCCAAGCAAATTCTTTGTCGACAGAGTGCCTCAGATTCCTCAGATTCCTCTTGGGTCTCCCAAAAGCCCTTTTGACATCGAAGTGCAGTTTTCAGCGCACAATGGCGGTGAGCTTTGACACAGTGCTGGCGGGAAGTTACTCAGGCACAGGACACGTCCGGTGGGTCCAACAACTCTGGAATTCTGCAAAATGATGATGGATGAGATGCCCCCAGAGTATGTCCTGGGAGAGGGATACGATTAGATTCTGCTAGATTGTAATTTTACATGTTCCTCATGTCTGGATTTGGCGATGGGGCCTGGGGAGATGGCTTCTCAAGAGGGGGATGCCAGAAAAGAACGGAAACTGTACCCAATAAATGCTTAATGCATTTTAAGGGGCATTGTGTTGCTTTCTATGCAGGGGCCACCAGATTTTATCACTTGCCTCCAAGCCACAATATACTGTACACATGTATTTGATGACTTGAATCTTTTTGTTCGTTCACATACTTGGGGGACGTGGCAAGCTCTGGCAAGCTCTTGATGGCAGGTGTGGAAGAGGAAGTCAAGAGGGCTATCATGTCCAAGACTGAGCTGGAGGAGATTTGGACAAAGCACACCTCGAAGTCATCTCCTCCTGAGCCAGTTCCAGACATCGACTTTGAGACGGTCTCATCCTTAGTTCGGAAGCCTTCGGACAAGTTCCACTCAGCGAGGTAGCCAGTTCTTTCACCGAAGATACACAATTTGCAAGCTGTGGTACGAAGCAAAGAACAACGCAACATTTCGCTCAACACACCCACTAATTTGTAAGATGTGGCTATGGGTCAAAACCGCAAGGACCTTGGTATACCTTGGTGGACCACCGAAAGTGAACAGAATAGACGATCACTGGGAAGGTCAACCTACTTCCGCGCTCGTTCCGCGCTCTGCGTGCCGCGACCCACAACCTTTTGGTCACAAGGTCCTTTCCTGGTCCGGTGGAAGGGTGGAAATACATCGAACCTGCCATTGGTTCTTGCCCAATCGAGCTGAAAGCGGCAGAAAGAAGCCAGCACGTGGCACAAGAGCGTGTTCCCTTGGCCTTGCCTCAGTTTCAATTCATCAGGTTTAGGCTCAATTCATCAGGTCTTTGGTGGATTCAATGCCTGGGGCCTTGCTGGGCACCTGCTGGGCATGGAAGTAGATTAGATGCAGACATCGACCTTGCAAGAGTGAAGTGGATTGTCCACCAAACCGGCTTCAGGAAGAACCACGGGAAGTTTCCAACCAAACCGTTGAGGAACGGTGTCACCAACGGTGTCAAAAACGCACTGGTGCCAAAGTATATAAGTTTGATATGACTTGATATAAGTTTGTTCCCTTTCCTCTCATGGCAGTGCGTTTTTCAGGTCTAAGACCCCTCCGTACTCGTTTTCTGTGCTTTCTCCCTGTGTCCAGCCACCGAGGAGATGGTGGTTTGTGCCTTTGCGGGCCAGCAAGGCTCCGGGGGCTACACGATCCGCGTGACCAGCGTGGAGGATTTGGAGACTGAACGCAGCTGGGGAGAAGTATAGTCAACTATACCCAGCATAGTCACTGATTAGTCGCACTAGTTGCCATAGTACATTTGTGTATGTTTGTGTGGTTTGCTTCTCTCGGGGGAACCCCATGAGCCAAGTGTGTTAAAGAGCGTGTTACGAGTTGTCACTGACCCACATTTCACACGTTTGCACGCGTTCCATGCTGCTTTCGGCCCCCCTTTGGTGCAAGTCCAAGGCAAGATTACCATCGAGTTCACGCGTCCTCCAGCCGGAGCGATCACCACCTGCGCACTGACGCAGCCTCATCATATGGTCCGAATGCCCAAGACGTCCTTGCCGATCACCTTCACAGCTGCCTGTTGCAAGAAAAGGTTATGACACATTATGAAACTATATTTCCGGATTGGGGGTTAGATGTTAGGCTTAACCACCACAGATGATTGAATTATTATGAATTTCATCTCTGTCACAAAGACTGACTAGATGATAGTAGACGCCTTTGGGGCCTGGCTAAAATGCGCTCCAGCAAGTTTTGATCCACTTTCACTTGCAAGGATGTCACGCCAGCTACGCGGCCAGCCGAAGATTCAACGACATTTCTTTTGACATTGCACGACGCCAAGAGTGCAGAAGCTGCGGACAAGGTGCCCAGGCGATGATAGGCTTTGGGCACGTGTCAGGTGCTAGCTAAGAACTATGTATATATATATATATGATTGCAAACGGATGGGTCTCATGGCAGCGAGCCTCTTGGAACAAACCGCAATCTGTTCCTTGTCGCATTTTTGCTCAACACACGGATTGCATGTACTATTGGGATAGCTAAACCGCCAAACAAACATGGTGCCAATGAACAGCATGGGCGAATGGGTACGGGGTGAATGGTTGTGCGATGTTGTGAGTCAACGTGGGCTCCATGGATGGTGGCCGGTTCACGTTTGTGAGCCGGGTAAAAGGGAAAACATGTTGGTAGTTTGGGAGCTGGTCTTAGGTTTGTCTCGGTTTGTCCCGGATATGATTTGTCCCTTCAATTTCTTGAATCTAAACATATCTAAACCAAAGCACCCGAAAGCTTGACCGATGGAGTCAGGTGAAGTCCCTGCCGCACATCTTGGAGACGAAAGCGATGTTTGACGGAGCGATCTTGAGCGTCAAGGTCGATACGAAGCGACCCGGTGGAATGAGGATAGATGGAGTCTTAAGACGTTAGCTGATGTTTTACATGGACTTTTGGGTGCGGATGGGCCAGGAAGGGCCTGGATTGGGGTGGGGTAGTACTGGTTCCCTGTCGCAAGCATCATGTTGTAGCCACATGGCACGATGTCTCATTTGCAAGAGCAGATTCGATTAGTCTCCTGAAAAGATGTCTCTTTAAAGTTACCCAAGATATCCTGATGGGTGTGGAAGAGTTTGTGCAGCTGGGCTCGAGCTGCCAGGTCGGTTACAGCTGCAGAGGCTCAGAGGATGCTCGAGAGCATCGATGGAATCAATAGCGTGGAGAAAGATGGATGAATGGCTTCCTCTACTACATTTGGGGATCATTCCTCAAAGAGGATGACTTCAGTAGCGGAGATCCCTCACTCGTTTTCCTTCTGGGAACATTCCCGCTCAGATGTAAACACGTACGGAAAGAAATTTCAAGCATATAATTATAAAGGGAATTATCCCGACCATTAATAATGATCGTTCATATTTCATCTTATTTTAAATATACTTATTCTTTGCAGATTACAACACCCAATCATCAATAATAGATATGAATGTAAAAGATAAATGGTCTATTTGTTTAGTGTAATTGATATTCCTTTTTATATATAGCTTATATTTCTTTGAATTTATTGTATTTACTATATTTTAGGATTATATATTTTATAGTATTTTACGTATTGATAAAGTTTTATAATATAAAAATTATTGATAAACAATAATAATATTCTTTTTTTTTATAGGTGGTATGGTAAGGCGACGAAAAGCAATAGATGAAATTGAAAAAAATAATGTTATTAAAAAATAGTAATTAGTTAGAATATATATGATGGGTTTTTGAATATTGGGTTTTTGAATATCTTCGTATTTTTATATTCGGTTTTTTAAATAATGAAATGATAAAAATTCAATTTCTCCTAAGAAAATATTTATTTATGATATGTTTAATTTATTGATATTATTAAAATATTTAAGAAATTAATTATTAATAATGTTCGTAAAAATTATATTTATAGAAGTAATTTTCTTACGTATTTATATAAAATAATTTTACGAATTATATGGTATTTTAAAGGATATGGAAAATTTGTTTGGGGTGGATTTTTCTTAATGGAAAGGTAATTTTCTTATAATTTTAGATAAAAATTATGTTTTATAAATAATTATTTTCGAGAAGAATATTAAGGAAGGAATTAGATTTAAAATATATTTTCTTTGTGTTATTCGGTTTTATGGGTTTTAATTTGGACATGTTTAGTTTATAAAAAAGAAAATATTCTTTATAAAAGATATAATCTATTTTTTTAAAATTCGATGCTGGCTAAATAGGATTTTTGTAATTGGGTATGTATTATGTGTATTATTTCTAGTGTCGGTTATAAAAATTCGATATTGATTTCTGTATATTGTTAGTTTTTTTTTTCTAATTGGGTGTTTGTTATATGCGTGGGTATTTCTTTGTGTCGTTTTCTTAAATTTGATATAAAATTATTTATTAAATTGTTTAATGAAAGGCGCAAACAATAGTATATCTAAATTTATTTAAGCCATTCTAAGGCAGGAAAGATTGACACAGGAACTATTGGCTAACCAAAAATAATAGTCAACAAAGAAAATAATTTCGATTTTGCTGTACAATTTGAAGGAGAGGCCGGAATGGTAATTTTTTGGCATGGGATATTGTTCATTGAGCTATGCGAAATATATATATATATGAAATAAAATAGAATATAGATAGAGACCGTGCACAGCAAGAATGATAAATGTGGTTGTCCGTTATTGTTTGTTGTTTTGTGAAGCCTAGATTTCTTTGCCAATATGACCCCTTATGAAATTCCATTTTTTTGTGAATTGTGTGTTTAAGCCTTTATCTTGACACAATAAAGATCTGGAAGGAGGGTGGGGTAAACCAATTTATGGTTAGACCATTTTAGATTATAGAGATCTACAAAGATGTTATTTTGATTGGTTTTGGTCGGTCTGGGCTCTTTATTTTATAGTGAATTGGTGTCCATCCTGTTTTGTGGGATTATCCATTCTATAGAACAAAAAAGGTAGATTCCCCCATTTTATTATTATAGAATGTGGAGCCCGGATCGACCATGGGAAATTCAATGGGGATAATGGCAATAAATAGATTAAAAAATTGCTAAGAATAATAAATAAGATATATTTCTTTAAAATAGATGATTAATGAAATTAAATGATTGTTATTCCCGAATGTGTAGCGAAGGATTCCCGTTTATAATTGGGGGTCTGGGGGTTGGAGCTATGTTTGCATGGCGTGCGTCGTGTCGTCGTCTCTCGTCGTCTGTCGTCGTTTGTCGTCGTCGTCGCGTCTCAAATTTATTGCCATTGGGGGAAATTTTTGCAAATGAATTTTCATGGATGTGTCACGTGTCAGTTTGCGCCGCTATTCCATTGTGATTTGCTTGACAATGACATGTCGCACGAGAAATGTGATGCATTTCGCAGCACAGGCGCAACGTTTTGTGAGATCCGCAGATTGCTGCGCAGTTCCATTGGGATTAGCGTTTGGAGAGTCGTGTTTTTGGGGTGTTGGATGTGGCCGTGCCATTGGGATTTGCGTTTCAGGGTGTTGCATGGAAGTTCGGTTTTCGTGATAAGTCTCAGCTGAAATGACGATTTTGGTGGATGGGAGTGTGCTCAGAACGGGTCGAAATCATTCCAAATGTGTGGTGTGGTGTAAATTTTGTTGAAATTCACATGAGATTCTGTTGTATGATATTGTCACTGTTCGTGGCAGGCGCAGGACTTTGTGCGGGTTTTGAGGCGTGGAAGTGCGATTCTCGTGGCAAGCGCAGGGAATCGTGCGGTTGCGAGGTGTGACGGAGGTGATATTTCGTGGCAGAGGTAGTGCTTTGTGCGCGTTAGACGTGTGGCCGCGGAAAGATTCGTGGCAGGTGCAGGGAATCGTGAGGTTGTGAGTTGCGGTAGAGGTGAATGTCGCCGTCACATTGGGATTGGCGTGTGAGCGAATGTTGTTTGGAGGGGCTGGAATCGCGAAATTGCTTGGCAGGGTTGCGTGATGTGTGTGTGCTCCGATGGGTGTTTCCGCTTGACTTTTGGAGGAAGTTTCGTACGAAATGATCGTTTTGCAGACTTTGACGTGTGAATTTTTGAGGAAGACTCGTAGGAAACGCTCGTTTTGGAGATTTGATGCGCAACCCTCTGCGGAGATCGTGCGTGTCGAGTGTGCGAAATGCAGGCGAGAATGCGATTTGTCCCATGCGCGCGCAACCCTCTGCGGAGATCGCGCGTGTCGAGTGCGCGAAATGCAGGCGAGAGTGCAATTTGTCCCATGCGCGCGCAACCCTCTGCGGAGATCGTGCGCGTCAAGTGCGCGAAATGCAGGCCAGAGTGCGATTTGTCCGGTGCCCGCGCAACCCTCTGCGGAGATCGTGCGTGTCGAGTGCGCGAAATGCAGGCGAGAATGCGATTTTTCCGGTGCCCGCGCAACCCTCTGCGGAGATCGTGCGTGTCGATCGCGCGAAATGCAGGCGAGAGTCCTACAAGAGTGTCCCACAAGAGTTTCCTATGAGAGTGTCCCTTAAGAGTGTCCGACAAGAGTGTCCCATAAGAGTGTCGTGTAAGAGTGTCCCACAAGAGTGTCCTGCAAGTGACCCACAAGAGTGTCCCACAAGAATTTCCTACAAAAGTGTCCCACAAGAGTGTCCTGCAAGTGACCCACAAGAGTGTCCCACAAGAGTGTCTCACAAGAGTGTCCCACAAGAGTGTCCTACAAGAGTGTCCCACAAGAGTGTCCTATAAGACTGTCCCACAAGAGTGTCCCACAAGAGTGTCCTACAAGAGTGTCCTATAAGAGTGTCCCACAAGAG